TTAAGCCTCATACACAACCCTGCTCACTGTGCCTTCCTAGTGCCACTCACCAGCCTCCCTGCCTTTATTTCTAGTCTCATTCACACTACTCCATTCTAGTCTCTTCTCCACATAACCCACAGAGCAATCATCCACCGTGGAAATCATACCATGTCACTACCCTGCTAAAACTTTTCAATTGTGCTCCTCCACATACAGGATAAAATAACTTCTTCACATAAAGCACACATCACATGATCTCCTACTAATCTTCCAACACTCTCTCCCACTAGACCTTGCAGCAATGCATTTACTATATGGTCTCTCCCACCTTTCTTTCATGTTTTCATTTTTTTCTACTCAAAAGCTCTTCCCTTCCCTACCTCCTCTCCATCTTGCAGTTATTAGTTCTGCATTCTCGAGTTATATTTACTACAGTAAAAAAAAAAAAACATGTGTGTAACAGATTTAGGGGTAAATTAAAAAGTCTGATTTTGAGCACATTAAGATACTAGTATAAGAACTATATAAAAAAATTTGAGAGGGGTAACCTTTAGTGTTATAAGCAATGGACTGACACATTCAGACTCCTATGAAAATTCCTGCTGCTGTATGAAGAATCTGGAGGGTAAAGAGGGGAGGGGAAGAAATAAAAGCATAAAACTAGAAAACTGGTTAGGAGCCTACTCAAATAATGAAGCCAAGAAGTAAGGGGCTGTTCCAGGTAAATGCAGTGGAGATGGTGAAAAAAATGGGCAGATTCCAAATACTTAAGAACTGACAGGATTACCTGATGGACTAAATATGGAGTTAATATAGGTAAGATGTCAAGGAAGATTCCAAAGTTTTTGTCTGAACAGTTAAAAGGAGATGCCAAATATAGACTCTGGACACTCCAATATCTTGAGTAAAAAATGTGAGAATAAACAGTGGGAACTAAGAAGGAGTACTAAAAAGAGTGGTAGGTAACCCAAGAGAAGGTAGTGATCTGGAAAGCCCAGGAAGTATTTCCAGGAGAATTCAATTTTGTCAGATGTTCTTAACAAGTAAAATGAAAACCAAAGTGACTACTATATTTTGAACAGTTGACCTCAATAAGATCAGAACAGGAGGGGAAGGGGTCGAAAAGTTGACTAGAACTGACAGAATGGGGTGACAGTTGAAAGACTATGTGGGCATAAGTTTTCATTTTTGAAGACAGGAGAAATTAAAGCATGTTTACATGAAATGTGAACAAGCTTATCAAATTGGGGGTGAGGGGAGGGGACTGGCAATGCAAGATAAAAGAACTGCTGCAACAATGCTTTGCAATGGGCAGGAGGGGATGGTCAAAAAATAAAGCACAGACAGTTCAAGTGCAATTATGGGTAAAAATGCAAATAGGTAGGCAGGTGGTATGAAAATTCTTTTCTAATTACTTCCATTTCTCAGTGAAACAAGAAGCAAGATTACCAGCTGAGAGAAGACAAGGGAGGAAATGGTGAAGGACTGAGAAAAGTTTTAGTGCACAAGTTGCCAAAGAAGGAGGTTGCTGGCACAGAAATGCAGGGTTGTCTGGCAGCATGAGAGACTAATTTGAGGTTCACGATCACAAACTTATAAAGTAGAAACAACTGACATAGTTTTGTCTATTTCTTCAGCCTCATTAGGCCTGGGTGCAAATTTACAGAGCTGAATTTAAATCACCACTGGATTTTCTCAAGTCACCCTGTAGTAGTCTTTTCTGACCATAAATCCTAGTTATCCTAACTTCAGATACATGCTATTTCATCACCTCGACTTTGCTATTATAATCTGAAAGTAACTTAGGTTATTTTACTTATCACATCTCCCCTCCCTACCTGCTTTATGCCCCATTTTCTTGAACCCACCCACCCCAAACCTGACAATGCAGGAAAAGAAACCTATCTACACTTTTCACATCCCTATCCCTGGAACCCAGAACAGTGCCTAAGCTACAATTCCTCGGTAAATTGTGAAACAAAAGAAAAAAAAAAAAAAACACTAATATAATCTAAATGGAAGTACCCTATAAACAGTAATTTTTTAAAGGGGGACATTATTAAATTACACTTATTAATCTCCAGTCGAAAACCTCTGGACCACAATTACATTTTAAGGGCACAAACGCGATAATCAATATTAATGTGGTAACAGCTACCTGAACGCAAGGCTCTGCCAGCGTCTCCTATTCCTACAGGACTGCAGGGCACCCCTACAGGGAAGGTCACAAGGGAGCTGAAGAGGTGCCCGGAGGCCGCTCCCCTTTCACCTCCTCGCGTGCACGACGACGGGCCGAGGAAAAAGACCACCCGCAACCCACCCACCATACAGAGAACTTCTGCAGCCCAGCATCGGAGCCGCCCAGCGCTGGGCGTTGGTTGAGGACGGGCTTCTCCTCTCCACACCCCCAAGCTTCCCGAGCTCGACGACTCCTGGGTCACTGTCTCCTACGAGGGCCTCCGAGCACCCAGAACACCTCCGCGACAACTACCCACGGTCCTCCATTCCCTCCCGCCCACCTCGCTGTTCCTCAAGACGAACAGCCGGAGGGGACGCGATCACAACCGCCCCTGTGCGCCCGGCTCACTCCACAAACCCTCCAGGAGGGACCCTCCCACCCGCCAAGCCTCGGCCACCCGCTCTCCGCGCCCACAGCCCCTCACCTGAGACAACATGGCGACCGTGCGCCAACCCCACTTCCGGGAACCACGTCAGCGCACCAGCGCAAATCCGGTCTGCAAATTTACGTGGCCTCTTCCCTACAATCCGGGAGGGGCCCATGTACAGCCCTAGCCCGGCTTGGCTTCCCGGATACACTTCCGCTTCTAGGAGTCTCGCGGGAGGAGCAACACCGGGAGGGGAGGTGCAAGGGGTTATTCCGGGGCGGGGCGATCCGGGGCAGGGCGAGAAGTGCTGGTGGGTTCTGGTCCGAGTAGAAGCAAAAACCCGGTGGGAAAGAAGCCCGTTACCACAGTTGGCCCTAAGGAAAAGTTGCGTGGTTTCTTAAAGGGAAACGTGTTTCGCGGCGATGAAGTGCAAACTGTGAAGTCATTCTCGCCAAGGCCGATGCCCTGAGTGCAGAGGGCCAGGTTTTATTCCATGGCATTTAACTTCATTGGAATATTTGACAGTGACCTGTATTTCTGAATAGTACTACTTTTGCGCTTTGAATTTTAGAAGCAATTGGAAAAGTAAAGGTGGCCTTGGGAAGGGATAAAAAGTTAATCAAATCAATGGAAATAACCTGATGACGGTTGAGGACGACGGGCGACCTGCGTTTGGGCTCCTGGATTTCAGCCTCCTGCCCTTATTACCAATTAAATAATCAACCTCTCTGTACTTTTTTCCTTGATCTTAAAGTGGAAGTGACGATAGCATCCTTACAGGGTATTTAGTGAATAGGAGAGGGTTACTGTTTTAAGTCCAGCCATTGATGGAATGATCTTGCCTGGACCTAAAGTTCAGAGGCCTTAAAGTCAACTTTGAAACTAGAATGATGGCATTCTTTTGTCGAGCATAGGTCAGACTGCTGTTGGAAAGTTCATGTATTCTCAGATGAACTTGAGGGACTTCTTTTCATTAAAACCACAAATGTTTACACAGTTATTTGTAGTGCTATTTCAAACCTAATATCTGAATGTGAAGTCACCCCCATCCTCATGCACACACATTTCCCACAGAGAGAAAGCTTGGCAAAGCAATTGCATGCTTGCACATAAAGGTGGATAGATGACCTGTGTGTGTCTAGCCCTCCTTGGACATGTTTTTGGTGCCTCAAAATTGTGGGGTTTTGTGAAGTTGTCTTTGTCATTTTTACTTTTGTTATGCATACTATTTGAATTTATTACCATCCTTTAAAAAAAAAGGGCATTTGACAGAAAAAAATCTGAATTTCTGACTTTTCTTGAAGAAGCAAAAGACGTGGCCATGCTGAGCCACTGAGTAGGAACTGTCCCATATGTACAGGATTTGAGCTCTCCAGTGGGCCATTACTCCCAACTCTTGAGGGCTGCACTCCTCTAAGTTACTTCCCTGATCCCTGACACCACCCTCCAAAGTTTTAAGTAGAAACCTGAACACACTTCATATTAAAGACTCCCTTTATACAAAGGATGTATGCTTAATTTTCTTAAAGAATTCTGAGAAGGAAAGGCATGCAAATGTCAAATTGGTGAACGTTTACCTCTTTTAGATTCTTGAGATTCATTGGACTTTCATTAAAAAACATACCAACAAATTTCAATATATTATCCTGATAAATTCCATTGTTACACAAGGTAGAAATCCAGATTGGGTCCATGTTCCACAGAGTCAAAGAATGAACACCATGAATACCAAGATAAGCAGAAATTTATTAAAGAGGTTATGGTTCAGAAGTGTAAGAAAGTTCCCAACAGAGTATGGGAGGAGCAAGAGTGCCTCCATGGTCTCTTGATATCCCTTCTTTTAAAGGCACCTGAGAAAAAGTTGACTGGCTCCCTGTAACCTGTCCTTGAGATTTTGTCATGTGTGCATGCTCAGGCTGAATTGCATAGTTGTCTTTTTTGTAAGAATGGAGCCTTTTGTCCTGTTTGGGAAACAGGTGTTGTTTGACTTGCTAGAGCACATCAAGTGATGAAACAACTCAAACGGTGGTCCTGACATCCATCCTCTTACTGACTCTTACCATTTTCCTACTCTGCCTCTTTCCCCTACCTCACCATCATTTCATTTGATAGGAAGAATCATAGCATGAAATTGGTAGTGATGAGTGTATCTCATTTCCAGTGATCACCTCCCTACCCTACTCGATGACATTGGACTTCCCTAAGTCTCACTAAGTGGTTTCCAGTGGGAATGCAGATGCCAATATCTTCCAGTCCTTCTGTTTTCTTACTGTTATAGCAATCCTTTGATCACAAGAAGATAATTAGGAGTTTTCACATTACTTGCCAGGGAATTAAAAAAAAAAAAAAACAACTACCCAAACCTACCTAGTTTTCTGTTTATTTAAGACATTGTAATTTCCTGAGGTTGGTTTAGATAAACATATTTTGTCCAAGTTCAGGGGCTGCTGTTTTCCCTGGCTTCTTGAAATTATCAATGGGCAAACCTTTGACCTTCTGGATCCATGCAGCTTTCCTGGATTTTTCTGGATCATCTACTCTTGTGGGTTCGCTGGCCTGATATTCCTTCATCATGGCTTCCTCATACTCTTTTTCCTCTTTTACCGTCAACAGCATGAATTCAGTGTTCATTCGAAGGGGATCCAGGGTTGTGTAGAAGCGAGGCCTTTCTCTCTGGAGAGACAGGGTAGCCGTGCCCAGTCGGGAAGCCAGCAGATGATTTGGCTTAATGACCTGCATGCTGGTCAGGGGCCCCATACTGGGCACTGCCCCTTCAATTGAACTGGTTATTTGATCTTCACCCTTTAATCTGTCAGAAAACCTAGAGCGGATAATCATGGGCTGGGGTACGGTGGACAGGAATCTGGGACTATGCAAAGATTTCTTCAAGTTGGGCTGCAGTTTCTGGACTTCTGGACTAGTTTGTTTCACATCTATGGGATGATTGTTGATTCTCAAGCGATCAACTGCATGTTGGATTGATTTTCCTTTGAAATTCAGGACCTTCCTTGGATATGAAATTGAAGGTCCCCAGGCATCAAGGACTTGGGTTTGGGGCTTGTGGAGATAGGCAAATTGCCCAGAATTATGGGCTCGTTGTAGAGCACTGACAGTCAGGAGGAACCGGTCAGGTGAAATAGGGGTTTTCCAGGACTTTGACTTCAAGCGGCTCATCAATTCTCCACGAGTTTCCAGTTTTCCTTGTTCTTGTACCTTTTCCACATCATCTTTTACAAAAGGAAAAATGGGAAACAAAAGCAAAAACAGCATTCCATGAAAAAATTAAGTATTTGTACAAGAAAGTGAAAACCATTCTAATTACTACAACACTGAGGTCTTATTGCCCAACAGGCATGTTGTCATTTGGACAATTGTCCTGATGATATCAGAAATGATGACACCAGATATCACGTAACAAAATAAGTTCTTAATGAATATGCCAATGCTTGTGTAAAGTGTATATTAGCTTCTGGATGTGCATATTTTGAAGGCAACATATGTGATTGCACTGTTCCACACCTTTTCAAAATTTTCTGATGGGGAAGTTTCTCTGTTATGATTCCCACAAAACAGGTCACATAAATTTATAATAGTGTGTCTAATGTTTTTCAACAATGATTTGTATTGCAAACTTTGATCTCTACCTTATTAATCAGATTTGATTCCAATTGATTTGAATTTTTCCTAAAATCAGACCTGCCTTCAAAGAATATGTCACTCCTGGTTAATGCAAAACATCACAAAGTGATAAAAACAGGCTCTTAAAGAGAAGTTCCCAAAAAGTTCCAAACAATAACAGCAGGTTCAAAAGCCAGTGGCTAGAGCAACAGAATGCTTCCAGTATATCACTTTAGTGTCAAGATCTCCAAATGTCTAAAACCACTAAATTACCAAAGATGTCTTCACAGATGAGCAAACCTATTGTATCTCCCATGTGGGCTTTTCATTCCCTATAATACCTCACAGAAACACTGGAAATATCCTCATTCTCAATTTTTAAAAAAGTAGAAATTAAAAAATAGAAATCATTTGTCTAATCTGGCAGCTACCAAGGAAAAAGCTCTAAACCCCAAACTACACTAGCAGATAAAATGTAACCATGTACTATATGCATATAGTTACCTTGGTCAAACAGGTTTTATCCTCAAGTAGACAGATTAAGATGGAATGAAACTTCAGGGTTGTTCCCTGATCTTTACTTTGTTAATTAAGCAATTTTTATTTAAAACATATGAAACAGAATTTTTCTCCTTTTATAAAACAGGGATGATGATAAGTTCATTGTTCATTAACTCATCTTTTTTCACATAATAATACATGGTGGATCTCTTTCAAAGTCAATACATATATAAATCCTCATCATAAAATTTTGAGTTATCATGTAATATCCATAGTATGGATTTTTAATTATCTATTCATCCATCATCCACTGATGGACATTTGGCTTGTTAATGATTAACCTTAAAGAAATGCAAATACCACTTTTACTTATTTAAGCAAGTACAAGGTGATAGATAACACCCAGAGTTGGTATGAATGTGGGGGGAAGCTCTCATGCTTAGTGGGACTATAAATTGATACCACATTTTTAAGAAAAACCATGGCAATATATAGTTTTTTGGGGGTGGGGGTGCCAGGGATTGAACTCAGGGGCACTCAACCACTGAGCCACATCCCCAGTCCTATTTTGTATTTTACTTAGAGACAGGGTCTCACTGAGTTGCTTAGCACCTCGCTTTTGCTGAGGCTGGCTTTGAACTTGTGATCCTCCTGCCTCAGCCTGCTAAGCTGCTAGAATTACAGGCATTTTCCACCATGCCCAGCTATCTTTATAGTTTTTTAAGTGCACTTATCGTTTGGATCAGCAATTTCACTCCTAGGATTTTACCATACAGGTAGACCTGTGCAGGTACATAGATAGGTATATATAAGGATGCCCTCATGAAACTGAGGTGTTTTCATCTTACCTTGAAACTGATCTCTGCAGGGAGTTTGTTTCAAATGCTATTATACTACTAGTCAAAAAAATTTTTTTAAAAGCATCTGAAATTTTTACCAGTGTCCTTCAAAAACAACAAGGGATAGTCTAGTGATGATGTCCAGCAATACTTCTTAAAATCCCCTTCCCAATTTCTCTCTCCCCCATCTCCTTATCTCACATACCCACCACCCACCCAAAAATATCTCTGCCCTCTCGTGAAATTTTCTATAACTATTCCTACATCCTCTTCTGTTCTTACTCAGATTGGTGACACAACAGAGCAATAAGCCAGGAGACTGAATGGCAGGGACTGAACACTCAGCTCTTAGAAAGTTTCTCACTCTGTGGCTTCAAGTTAGTAACTGGGACAATTAGGAAACCCAGTCATCGTTAAAGCAGCAATTATATCCATTCTAAATTCTCAAAAATAAAAGAACGGACTTGCTGAAAAACAGAAGAGAGGGAGGATCTTGCCACTAATTCAGAATAAACTGTCACCATTAATTTTATCTCCTATTTCACATTTTGCTTCCAAATTCTCTTGCCCATCATCCAGGCCATTTACTTTCCTGTGAACAGGACCAGCTTTCTTCTTGCTATCTTTTTTTGGGATGATTTTGGCTTCCCTTGGCTTTGAGGTACCTCTACTAATGTAGCTAAATTAAGATTGAGGGCGAAACTATAATCACTATATAATTCAGTTAGATCTGAATAATGGGGGTATGGTAATAATAATACAAGCAATAATAATGGGGGCTCATAATTCAAGTGGTTTTCACTTTAAAAAATGTCACTGTATTGCTTATTGCCAGACAACTAACTAAGTAGTCACCTGAAGTCTAAGGCTTAGGTCACATCCTGACTTCCTTCCCATATAATTTTCCTGATTATGAAACTATAAGCATTATCTAAAACTCTTACTTCTTCAAGAAATAGACTATTTGTAGTATGACATTTTTAGAAGTGATTTGTTGGTGTTCTCTATAGATCTGGGGATCCAATGTCATGCCACATAGGGCAGATTAAAGGATGGAGCCTTGCTACTCTAACCCATGTGTAATTGCATTATTTAGATGATATAAATCGTGTGAGCCATGCCTCTCCCACACCAGCTTTATAACTAATACTTTCCACCTGCATACATTATCACTTGGAAGTCTAAAGATAAGACATTCTACATGGAACATTTTTCTGCTTATAGTAACTTCTTGTCTCTATCTTGAGGAAATCATTATGTAATATATGTTTGGATTTGGGGGCTGAGAAATGTTGTTTGCATGTTTTGTTTTAATGGCAAATAATAAGGCTACTTTTATCTACTGTCCAAAGTTCTAATAAATTCAAAAATCTATGTCATAAAAGTCAAGAAATTCCCTTTGACTGGCTAACATTTTTTGTTGGATCAAAGAGAATGGCTCCCACCTTCCTGGAGGGTTTGGATTTACATCAAGAAAGTCTTAGCCAAAATATCCCACAAAGAAACCAGTCCTGTCATGCAACTTCCTTGCCTGTGATTAGCTCCTTTACCTGAAGTTAACTTCATTGAACTCAGGAAGATGCGAGATTTGTGAAACTTATTGGGTAGGAACTCCTGGGTCAGTATTTGTTTACTGGATATCGAGTCTCTCAGACTGTGGACCTGAGTGCTAGACTTGGAGAGAACATCCATGAGGCTATTTTCTTCCTTTTCATCTTCTTTATCCTTGTTCTTCCTTTGTTTGCTTCTTTCCAGGGAGTACTGCCACTTTATATTCTCAAACTGGAACATGAGAATATTTCTCTCGGTGTTGACCACCATCCTGGAACCAAAACAAAATTGCCCACAAAAGGAGCATGCAGACCACCAAAATATAGATTGCAGTTACTGTCCCATCCCATCCCTAAGCCAAAGGAGCAGTACCCAGGCAATGTCCACCCAAGCACACTAGTGGAGGCCATCGGAGTGTTGGGAGCAGTGAAAGGTATCAGACCATGCAGCAAGAGGGGTTAGCTTTGTAGCATTAATGGGACACACATGACCTAATTGCTTCATTTCTCAGATTAGAATATCTTTTCAATGATTCTGTTCGAGTGCCCAGTACCTAGGGTGCCTAAGGCAGAAGCTTAGGTACTCTGCACACAGATTTCTTCAAATTCACTCCTTTATTTTGCAAGATCCAAAGCTTTCAGACACAATGTTTCTATTGTTGCAATGGGAGTGAAAACTCTATACATCTGAGGATGTCTCCTCTGCTCTGCTGAAGCTCCATATACAGAGGCCACACTCCCTCACTCTATCCCTCCAAGGTCTCTGGACACACTCCACATGTAGACAGAACATCTGTAGTTTATAAAGCAGGATGATACCTCCATTCTCTAATCCCCACTTACATGCCCCAGTAGTCAAAGAGGCTCTGAAGTTGCCCTTTCTGCCCCTAGCACTGCCTCCTTACCACCCGCTAGTTTCTGTCATCTTGTCATTTACATAAAACAAACTTCTGTAACTATAAGTAAGAAATAGAAATATTATGTACAGATTCCTTTTCACTCCAAAGGCTACAACTTTAAGACCTAAACTGTTAGTGTAAACTCTCTAGAAAAGTGACTTGTTTGTACTTAGAAACACTGAAATGGAATCAAATTCCACTAAGAAATAACTTGCAAGCTTGTTTTTATTCAAACTAAAAGAAAATCATCTTCTTTGGATGCTGTGAATGAGAAAAGTTTAGGACTAGGACTGATTTTTTTTTTTTTTTTTGGAGGGAATGCTGGAGATTGAACCCAGGGCCTCACAGGTGCTAAGCACATGCTTTACCACTGAGCTACATTCCCATCTTTTACAGAAGTATTATTTCATAACTGAAAAATGTTAATTTATTGAGCCCTATTACCAGCACTGTCTTTTCCTTAAGAGAGTTAATAATTTTAATGAACTTTCATTTAAAGGACAGCAGTATAATTCAAAGAGATTAAATGATGTCTCAATTGAGCTCAGGGTGGAATTGGCCATTAATTGTGCTTATTTTCACATACTACCTCTCTGAAATTTTATACACACACACACACACAATAAGCATAGTTCTACATACAATGAGTTCACCATGGTACTGGTTTCTGTCAACTCACTAGCTAAGTTCTTCCTATCTGGCTGTCCAGCTACTGTAACTCCCACCCCGACCCTCCTACAAGTCTTTCCATCAGAACTGAGTATCAGTGACAGCTGTTGGAGCTCTGGGCAGGCAAATACATAATCAAAGGGAAACCAGAACCATGCTCCTGACAGAAGAGCTATATTGTACCTATAACGTGATTTTTTTCCAAACACCAAGAATGAATGAAGAGTCAAAATGAACTCTTATTGTTTCCTGAGTGCTAGGTTTTCTACAAAGCCCAATTAGTTCCCCACAAGACTTATTATTCCACAGCAGCCAAAACTGGAGAAAGGCACTGCCCCCCTCTCTCCTTCTGGTAGGAAATCCAAAGCTCGTGTCCCAGAGGAGAACAAAAACATCAACCAACACAATTACCCCCAGTTCCAACCTCTACACCTACCACCCACCTGTTGCCCTGAAAAAAGAAGGACAGCACAGGATCACCTCTGGCATTGGTTTTTATCACCTTCAGACAGTTTCCATTGAGAAAATTGTAAATGCGGATCTTGCCGTCTGCGCAAGCGCTGATGACCCGGAGATAGTGAAGGGACACATGGAGCACCTCCCTGGAAGGGAAGAGAACCACAGGCAGCACCCACTTTCTGGTAACTTCTTGAGTTTATTTGTAGTTTGGCATGTTTTGTATGTGGTTGGGAGGTGGTGGCCACTAACTGTCTTCAAAGTGATGTTTGCCATCACTTTAATAATTCTGGTTGTAAACCATGAACCCTCTGACAATCCTCTTCCTATCCTAAAGTTACCTCACAGTTACTTTTTCTATAGTTTGTTCCCAGGGCCACAAGTGGCAAGACAAAAGGATTAATGTCAGGGTTTTTGGGGGGTGGGGGTTGAGGGACAGGAGTATAACAGATGATCGTATTTTTTTCTTGTAATTTGATTCCTACCTAGCTATTTACTTATATAAAAGTCATGCTGAGAATTAATAATTTAATGTTTTGATTCCTCCCCCCCCCCTTTTTTTTAAGTACTGAAGATTGAACCCAGAGGTGCTCTGTGACTGAGCCACATGCCCAGCCCTTTTTATTTTGAGACAGGGTCTCACTGAGTTGCTGAGGGTCTCTCTAAGTTGCTAAGGCTGGCCTTGAACTTGTGATACTCCTGCCTCAGCGTTCCCAGTCTCTGGAATTACAGGTGTGCTCCACCACACCTGATTCCTTTTAAATAGTATTATTGTATAAAAAAGAAAAAATTCAGGAGGAAAAGGATTGTCTTCATATAAAACAAAAACCTAAATAGAACAATCTGGTTTTGGTCTTAAATTAGCATCTTTTCTTCTTTCAGTGAATGAAATCCTTAACATCTTTAAGGAAATTATACCAAGGGAGGAGGTTTATGAATGTCCTTTCATGATGACCAGTAGGAAAAGAGGGAATATCTAGATAGATGCCTCTCATCCTTACAAAAATTGGGTACAAGTTAGACCCCTGATATATTGTGTATCCAATTCTGACAAGTGTAATTAATTAATCCCATTCCTGTTAATGGCATTGAAAAGTTGGATTTGATGTCCCCGATTTGTTATATCCTTTTTGTAAGGCAAGTCCATTACTCCCTGCCATCTCTTACCCATCCAAGTCTTCTATGGTTTGCAAATTGTTTGAGTGTGTTTCCCAGTGGCTCATGCACTGGAAGCTTGATCCCAGGGTAGCAACTTTGAGAGGAGACAGACTCTTTTAAGAGATAGGGCCTAGCAGAAGGTGGGTAGGTCATGTTGAGTGTGCCTTTGGATGGGATTAACGTAGGTCTCACAGGACCCTGGTTAGTTCCTGCAACAGAGGTTTTTATAAGCAAGTCTATTGCATGCACTGGGCCACTTCTGCATGTGACTGCTTCCCATTCTATTTCTCTGCCATGTTGTGATGAAGCCAAACAGTCCCTTGCCAGAGGCTGAATATATGGGGCTACCTGATCATGGACTTTCAGTCTCCAAAACTGTGAGCTAAATAAAACTTTTTTCTTTTTACAGAATACCAGGCTCTAGATATTTCCTTATAGTTTCAGAAAGTAAACTAGGAAACAGTCCACCCATTTCCTAAAGCTCATGTGCTGCCTTCTCCAATAAAAGAAAACCACCTCTTACTTCCATCTCCTCCCCACCATGCATGCACACAAACTTCAGGTATATTGCCAGATCCTCTTGGGCATGACTCATGTAATATTATTCCATCATTACATTCCCAGCCCCTAGCACACAATACATACATCTATAGTAGATGCTTAATATGTATTTGGTGAAAAGATGACTGTCTGATTGTGTTTTCAATGCATGGTCTTTACTACAGAGCGTTAGAAGAACCATATCTACCCCATACCATTAGCCTTAGTTTTGGTCAGCTCCTAGGGCCAAATGACAAATTTTCAAGTCCCTAACCACTATCAAAACAGAAACAGCAAGACCTCAAAAGGCAGGAGCATCCTCAGAATATTCAGAAGACAGCAAGGAGGCTAATGTGGCTTGACCCCCTCATTGTATGGCAGATAGGTAAGTGGGTAGATAGATACATAGATAGATAGATAAATAGAGTGAGCTAAACTATAAGTATTTAAAAGTCCAACAAAGTTCTCATTGTTTTGAAGATGGAAATAAAATAACTTTCTTAATACATTGAGAACATCTTAGTCTGCCTATGAGGCAGTCTGGCACCGGGAGAGACGCCCTGTGATAGAAGGGTTTGCTGCTTTTTGTATCTCTTTTGATTTTGCTGAGTTGGGCCTACACTTCTCTTAGGCTCCTGTAACATTTGGCAGTTCAGCCTGTACAATTGTAGCCTAGTGATTAAAAAACACAGGGAGCAGGGGTGAGGAGAAGGAAGGGGAAGGAAAGGTCCTGGGGTCTGTCTTAGAACAAGATATATTCCATAGTTGTATAATTATGTCAAAATGGGTTCTACTGTCATGTATAACCGGAAAGAACAACAACAAAAAAAAGAAGAAGAAAAAAAAAAAAAAAAGAACAGGCTTCAGGCCAGATGCAGTGGCACATGCTTGTAATTCCAGTGACTCCGGAGGCTGAGAGCTGAGGCAGGAGGATCGTGAGTTCAAAGCCAGCCTCAGCAATTTGGCAAGGCCATAAGCAACTCAGCAAGAGCCTATAGATAGATAGATAGACAGACAGACAGATAGATAGGTCTGGGGATGTGGCTCAGTGGTTAAGCAGCCTCAAGTTCAACCCCTAGTAGTAGTAGTAGCAGTAGCAGTAATAGTAGTAGTAGTAGTAGTAGTAAATAGGCTTTGGGATCAGAAAACCTGGGATCAAAAATCAGACTATGCCATTTACTTGGTGTATAATCTAGAGAAAGCAACCTAACCACCCTGTTGTCAGTTTTCTTTTTTAAGAAAAGGAACTAACAATTTCCACCTCAAAAGATTGCTGTCAGTATTAAATTAATTAAAGTATTTTTTAAAACTTATCCCAGTCACAATACCAGTTATTTTGGTCTTACAATAGCTCGATCTCCTTTCACATTTTATTTCTGCCCTAGAAACAAATTATTCGTCTTTCTTTGCTCTCTGTTTATCAAAGACACTGCCAAGAGCAATGCCGATGAAAATGGCAGAGTAAGAAACTACAGAATTTCACCCTTCCATAACAGCAATGAAACCTGTCAAAATCAATTTTTTCAGAATTCTGGAAAATAACCAAATGTTTACAGGAACCCAAAGAGCAAGAAAATTGGTCTTGGTGTCAGTGAGAACAGTTTGCTCATTAAATGTCATTCCTCACTTCACAGTCCAATGAAAATAATAGCCTGCATTTCTGATACTGGAGATGGGGTGGGGAGCGTGGAACATTCCTTCACAGTGAATTATTTGACCTGTCTGATGATTTCTTGGAAGACTGGCTCAAAAGGCTTGTCCTTATTTTGTCTGACTGAAAATTCACCCACGTTTAAAGCTGCTACCTGGAAAACATTTGTTGAAAATATTTACAGGAAATTGTTTTAGTCCCTGCTACCTGAGGCAATAAATATTTACTGAAGCAAACAACACACTAACCAAACTGGCTTTAGAGAAAATGCTCAAATGAAGTGTTCAAAAGGTTTTGAATATTTTAGACATATTCCCAAGAATCTAGATGATCACACACATGTCCAAAGCAATATACATGCTTAGGAAACACCTAGGAAAGTCATAAGCTTCCACCTCTCATAAGCTTTCTGTTCTGTGCAGGCAGGAACTGAGGGCTAATAAAGGTCAAAGAAGAAATCAAAAAGGAAATTAGTAAATATTTTGAAATGACTGAAAGTAAAAACAATATACCGGAATTATAGAATACAGCTAAAGTAGTGTGCTTAGACAAAAATTCATAGCAGTAGAGGCCTATATGTCTCTAATTAATTATCTAACCTTTCACCTTAAAAAACTAGAAAAAGATAAGTCTAAACCCAAATAAGCAGGAGGAAAGAAAGAATAAAGATACTGTCAGAAACTAATGAAATGGAGAATTGAAGAAAAACACAGAATTAATGAAACCAAAAATTGGTTCTTTGAAAAAATTTTAAAAGTCTTTAGCCAGACAGTTGTCACATCTTTACTTAAACTAACCAAGAAAATGAGAGCAATGGCTCAAGATAGTGATATGAGGAAGTAAATATCACAGGGACCATTTCTACTAACTGAAGGAAATGTTCTATAGTTAAATAGTGATAGTGCTTGTACAACATTATGAGTATATTATAAACTATTTTGTTGGGGCTGGGATTGTGCTCAGCAGTAGAGCGCTTGCCTAGCACGTGCAAGGCCCTGGGTTCGATCCTCAGCACCACATAAAAAATAAATAAATAAAATAAAGATATTAAAAAAAAACTGTTTTGCTGTACACAAAGGTAGAGAATTTTATGTATTGTAAATCGTATCCTAATTAAAAATTACCCCAAAACTCTAATTACAATATGAGCTATGGAAAAGACATCAAAGAATAAAGTTTTTTGTTTGTTTGTTTGTTTTTTTACAGAAAGACCTCATAGTGTACAGAAGTTTCCCCAAAGTTCATGATTTCCATCAGCCCTATTTTACATCCTCAAATCCACTCTCATATCCATTCTCTCTCACTCTATATGCAAAATTGTAATTTTAGTTGAAAAAAAATGTTGAATCAAGAAAAGAGACCCTTGTTTCCAGCTCTTCTACCAAAGGACAGATAGTAACTATATGTCTGTTTTCTCACCTACATCATATTCAAAAGATGGGTATCAGCCCAATCATTAGAACTCCCCAGAAAAGCAACCTGTCAAATCAGTGTGTTACCTACCAATCAGTTAGGTATATTTATTAAGCACTTATATCTACTCAGTACTAAAATAGAGGGATGGGGAAAGGAGAACTACAAACAAAGCATTGGCCTTGTCCTTCAGGTGTCAGTGATTCTTCCGTGACCATGCCAGGTATCAGGAACCAGTTTGAGTGGTATATTAGTGTTGACTTTCACTGGGAGTGTCAGTCATATGGCATAGTCTCATAGCATAGATAGAATGAGAGGTTCATGGATAGTAAGGCTACAACTGAACTACCATGTTTACTGGGAACAAATTATTTTCCAATAACTAATTAGATCCTACTAAATCCTGCTTAGAAGGTTTTTAGGACAAATAGTTAAAATTTTCAGGTGACATCATGAAGTTTGACCCCCTCCTTGAGATCAAGCCTAGATAATCTAGATGACATATTAAAAGGCTTCCTGACAGTTCCAAAGGGGTTGGACAAATCACTAAACACACATACTTCCTGATACCCACCCATTAATATTGCAATACTACCACAGTTGGAGAACATACACATATATACTTGTATCTCCCTATACCTCCCAAAAGACTAGTATGCCTGATTTAGAAGTTTCTATGTGGGTATAAAGAAATCTAGAGCCATAACTTGGTAAATAATCATCTATCTTCTGATAGATTCCCTGCAAAATTCACTTTTTTCATCAAGTAAGATAGCATTTTGTTTCCTAGAACTTCTTACATGAAGTTCTAGTCTAAGACAGAAGCACCAGTCTAAGAATGGCAGCCTACAAAACACATATGACTAATGCAGAATCATTAATTGACCACATTTTGCTTTTCAAATAATACCAGTTGTGACCCTGGAGTAATGCCTAATTGGCTTCAAATTCATTTGCTGTCCTAGAATAATATCTAACCCACAGACTTATAAATATAAGCTTTTTAAAAAGTTCTTCATTATGTTTAAACCTTTGGCACATGGATTATTTTAATCTTTTGTGAGTAAAGGCTTCCTGGGATAAAGACAATTTTCAAGAATTTTAAATTTAGAATTAGCATTATTTTGGATGGCCCTGTTGGTATTCCTATGTCTGACATGAACTAACAGATATGAATTTATCACATGTGTCATAAGTATAAAATTTCAATACCTTCTCAAAATCCACATCTAGTGTTATTATTTCTCAAGAGAAGGAAGTGAGAGTGGAAGGTGGAATGGCCAGAAGAGAGGGTGGTGGGGGAAGGGTAACCGGTGAAAGAGTAAGGAAGTAGCAATGTATGAGAAGCAGAAAGGACAGGAGTTCATCAGAGAGAAGAAAATGATCTGCCAAAGACCACAGTCTAGGCTATGAAAGGAAAAGAACAGAATGCCACATTTGCCAGTCCCTACTTCCCTGGCACCTACTTTGGATGCTTGAAGGCCATCAGACATCGCTCATACTTTCCCACCATGCTCCAGCCCATGACCAGACCATCGGTGCTTCCTGAGAGGAGATGCCAGTGGTCAAAGAACAGGCATTTCACAGGGCCCTCATGCCCAGTGAGAGTCTGCAAGAAAATATGCCATTGTTTTTAATCGCTGAAAAGATCCTCCTTCAATTCCAACTGTGACTCCTCCAACCAAAGCTGGAGGATTCTTTAGATGAATCCAAAGTCACACTGCACACATCCATGACTGCCATTCACTTGGAATGTCCTTGATCTGCTTTTGCTTCGGATCTGAGAAAGGCCGAGGGCTTCTCTCTGCAGAGTTCTCTCCCCAACTGAGGAAGAATATAATTGAGTAAGGGCCTTATTTCTGATGTGTCTGTGGCTGAAGCGTGCACCATCTTTCTGGAGTGCCAAGAGGGCCAGAAATTCATCAGTAGGGTGAAGGGTAAAGTGTTCCATCACCAGCAACTTGTCAGAACCCAGAAGGCATAAGGGGCATCCCTGTTCTGCATCTGAGGTTCAGCCGCAATGACAAGAATGATGGAGAAAAACTCTCAAGCAAAGCTAGCCATTTGTCACTGTGATCCTGTGTTCCTGGCACAAATTATCTCTCACTACCACTCACTGAGGCAAAGGGGTCCAAGTTCAGCAAGAACATGTTTTATGAACTTTTGCTATGGTTTGGGTGTGTCCCATGGAATTCATGTGTTAGAAATTATCCCCAAAGTCATAGGTTAATGGTATTTGGAGGCAAGGTCTGGGAAGTGACTGAATCATAAGGTTCTGCCCTCATGAATGAATTAATTCATTCATAGATTAGGGGATTGACAGGTTATCTCAGTAGTGGCTTTGTTATAAAAGAGAGCTCTCTGACACACTTGTCCTTTATCTTACCATGTGACACCCTTCACCATGACATGACCCTGTAGGAAGGCTCTCACCAATGCCAGCATCATGCTTGTGGACTTCTCAGCCTCCAAAACAGTGAGCCAGATGAACCTTCTTCTTGATAAATAACCCAGTCTTGGGTGTTTTGTTATAGCAACAGAAAATGGGCTAAGTCTATCCCTTTCAAGGCAGCCAATGTTCCCTTCTCATTAGAGAGTAAAGAGGAAGAAAATTATTTGTCCATCCCCAATGTTTTCTCCTTACTAAAAGAATAAGGAGGTGGGGGCGGGGGGCTTTGTTTGTTTATACCTTTACCTCATGCTAGACATGAGGCCTGTATAGTGTGCTGAGTCAGAATCCAGCCTTCTTCCTCCAACCTTGTGAGTCACTATGTGGGTGGTAAAGCTCCTGACCCTGCACCAACTCAGAATGCCTCCCCCTTAGGGTCCTTTCCCTTTAGTGCCTCAGCATGGTGGTAAGTCCATTGCTCAAGGATGGTCTGGGGGTCTACATGAGGGAGACACCATCCGTCTTCATGAATCATCAGCAACAGTGGCCCTAACTTCATCTCAGCCTACTGCCTTGCTCACCTTTACCAGCTGGGCCAAGGCAAGGTGCCACACTTTGACGATCCCTCGCTCACAGCTGCTCACGATGTAGGTGTCATTGATCCTGGTAGCCAAAATGGGGTCTTTGTGTTTATATGTCTTCAGGCACTTCCCTGTGTCTACATCCCATTCTGAAGAGGAGATGGGGAAAGGGAGAACAAAGGAGAGTGGGGTAAGGGAGAGTTATAGTAGAGTTCTGCTCCCCATCATAAAAGCAAAGATCAGCTGGGCTCATTGAATCAGACCCAGAGGAACTTCACCTGGCCTGGCATCCTGCTGATTTGCCAGAAACTCCACACACCTGTACACACACCTGCCTGAGCTAGCTCTCTTCCCTTGGAAGAGCTAGTAAAGCAAAAGACCTTGGCTCTAACCCTGGAGCTTTGACTTGGGGTCCAAGTGCTAGATAGCTCATCTCCAATAAATCTATTCTTCAAGCCTGAAAACGCTTGCTATTGAGGAAGTTTCATGGAAATACAGCATATTTTTAGTGTTGTTTTTCTTCCCAAATGTCTTCCTGACCCACTCCTGATATTGCCAAAAAAATAAGTAACTTGTCTACCCTCACTTTTCTGAATAATTCTGTATCTGACTTTTGAATTTTATGAAAGAATTTCCATGACTAGGGGTGGGTTTGATGCTGCTTCTACATAGTCTGGGTTACAGCAACTGCCCTAGTATAGTAGGTACTGTGAGAGGGGTTGGTTGTGTACGTGTGTCCATCAGCTTTTTGTCACTGATCAAAATATCTGACAAGAACAACTTCACCAAGAAAAGTTTATTTTGAGCTGATGGTTTTAGAGGTTCAGTCTATGGTTGGCCAACTCCATTGCTGTGGGTCCTAATGAGGCAGAATATCATAGTGGAAGAAATTAGAGGAAGAAAACTACTCAGCTCATGTCAACCAGAATGCAGAGAAAGGGCAAGGAGGGCACACACGTAGTGACTTACTTCCTTCAACCACACCCTATCTGCCTACAGTTACCACCATGCATTCCATTCCAATTAATGGATTAATCCCCTGATTAGGTCATAGCTCACATAATCTAATCATTTCACCTCTGAACATTGCTTCATTGTCTCACAAGCTTTTGGAGGATAACTCATAGCATAACAAACCATAACCAAAAAAAAATTGGAGACCAGGGCTAGAAGGAAGGGGGTGAGACAAATTTAGGGATGAAAACTTTAAACCCTGCTTCATCACCACCACCACCCCCACCAAAAAACAAACATGTAGCCTAAGACAACAAAATAATAAGCACAATCAAGACTTGATAAGCACTACAATGAGAAAGGAACCACTCAAAATGCCTGGCTTGTATACCTCATCACACAAGACAGGTCCTATTATTAATCCCACTATTCAGATAAGGAAACTGAGGCATAGAGTTCAATAACCAGCTCAGGTTCACACAGGTGGGAAGCAGCCCAGCTGCTTTGAATCCAAGTATTCGGTGGCCTCTGGTTCTATTAACCATTTATGTGAAGTGAACCCTAGCTATTGCTTTTCCCCATTTTTTTTTATGTCTATCTTGGCCTATTTATAAACCCAATGGGGAAACTGAAAGACTAAAGATTTATAGGTAATATGCTGTGGTTTAACAAACTTTAAAAGTTAAGACTGTACTTTTTAGTTCTCCTTGTTCATTCTGCTTTGGTAGCCCAGGCAGGTGGGAAGAACCCAGGGGAAGCAGGCAGGTTGGTGACCAGGGGCAGGATTAGGGTGAAGAGAAAGATTTTGATATTTTGTTCATTGTGAATTTTGTGCATTAATTTTGCTTTTTAAAATACTACATTGAAATATGTATGTTGATTACTGAGTTGTCTTGGTGTCCCCTCAAATTGGAGCCTAACTTCCTCTCCCCAGTCCTGACCTCACTGGTGGCCCACAAAACTCTCCCAGACTGCATGGAGGTCATGGTTACCCTTCCATCTTCAAACCATCACCTGGAGAGTTCTCACTTTTACTGTTGCACCCCTCAGAGCAACAGTGGCAATGACATTCAGTCAGACAGAGGAAGGTAAAGAGGTTTTCTCATCAAGTCTGAGAGTTGGCAAATGGAACCCCACTGCACTGTTCCTTTCCCACATCTTTTCCTTCTACCTGCCCCTAACATGCTGTGGTTTTCCAAGTCCCTGACTTTTCTTCTCTTTTCAATCTTAACTCCTGTTTCTCTGGGGAAATCCCACCCACACTTAGTGCTTCTACTTTTCAGTATATAGTCATTCCAACATATCCATGGCTTCCACATCCTCAGATTCAACCCACTACAGATCTAAAATAGTCAGAAAATTGTGATCATATTATATGAAATAAGAAGTGTTTACAAAAATTCAATATAGAAAATATTGAAATCATCATATCTATTAAGAAGGGATTATAATATCTCCATCCAAAGGAGCTACTTCAAATATTAAATTACAAATAGTGATAAAGCTTTGAGAAATATTTGACCAGGATGCAAACACCTTGGCATAGTCATTCTTCTGCCTACCACAATCAGCATGTCCAAAACTGAACCCATGATCTTTTCCCCATTTCTATCTTTCTACCATGCTTTTCCTCTGAGGTCCTTATTATTTCCATTAATGATAATTCCATACATCTAGTGGCCTGAATTTAAAAATCAAAACTTGATTTATTATCTGCACCTCTATATTTGGCACTTTCATATATAGTTAGTGGTAATGTCCTGCCAATTTTTCCTCTAACAATCTCCATTCCATCTGGGCCACTGAATGTAAAGTCACGTCCATTGAAGTCTCTTCACACTTGCTTGTTCTCCAACATCCTGAAGACATCATGCTAGTACTCTTGGCTGAAGATGTCTTAACTTGTCCCCTGTATCCATAGACACCTCTTCTAAGTCCTTCACCAATCACTCACTGGAGTTACCTTTCTAAAATACACATATAATCATATCAATTCAAACCTTAAAATGCATTTATGGCTTTCCATGTCCTATAAGATGAAGTTTAGTTTTGTACCATGATGTAGAGGGAACTTTAGAATCTGACACCAAACGAACTTACTAGCCTGATCTCCCATTCCACACACTACAGTCCTGCCACACCAAAGAATGGGAAATTCTCTGAATACACTATCTTCTTCAGTCTCTATATATTTGCCTGATGAGTTCCCTCAACTTAGAATATATTTTACTCTCACTCTTTTTTGCCTATAAAAGTACTCATCCTTAAGATCACAGACAAATAGCATCCTATCTGTGGAGCTTTATCTAATTTACCCTTATATGTATTGTCCCTTAGAACGCCACATGTGGCCAGGTATGGTGGTGCACACCTGTAATCCTAGCAACTCAGAAAGCTGAGGCAGGAGGATCACAGGTTTAAGACCAGACTCGGCAACTTAGTGAGGCCCTAAGCCATTTAAAAATAAAAAGGGCTGAAGATGTGGCTCAGTGGTAAAGCAACCTCAGGTTCAATTCCTAATACCAAGAATTAAAAAAAATAACTCTACATATGGTTAGGAGGACATGACTTAGAACCAGACAATCTTTTTTTTTTTTTTGAAATAATTTGGTGTTTTATGGAATAGCATTCTATTTCCAGACACATTAGCCTTCTTACAGCCAAAGGATTGGGAAATTGCCAACAAGCACAGCACACAAAATAGTTTAAAACAAGGGACAACTCCTGAGTGTAGTTTTCCACAGCCTAATATTAACCATACTAATGACATCAAACTGTATATTACAAAAAGGGAACACCAGGTTTAATACCTTATGAAATATGTACAGAAGTTGAACATTCCTGTATGATATAATTCAAGTCATAATTCAATTATGAATGTAATGGGACATTCTGATATAGTGAAAAAGGTCTAGTTGATTACCAAAAAATGCATGTAAACCATAAAAGATAAAAACTACTTAAAAACACAAAATTCTAACCACTAGGTTTAAGCTTTCATTTTTAAAAAGTATATATATATATATATATATAAACACACACACACATATATATTTACAATCTTTAAATTTCATACATTTGTTAATTTTACATGATCTTAATTAACAGGTGACAAAAAGCAACAAATAAACCCTTTTAATCATTTTTATAACAGAAAAAAATCAATAGGGAGGTTGGCAGAATGTAGTATACACAGTAGCTAAAATTCCAAAGGCAGGGACTTTATTATTAATGGAGTCATAAAATAGACAAAACCAAAAGCATATGCTAGTACACAAGCAGTCTCACTTCAGAGACTTCATTGCAGGGACCCAGTTTTCTTATTTAAAAAGAAATGATTATAAATAATAATTATCTAAAGCATTGTTGGGAAGATTAGATGCTTTCTTGGGTGTGAAAATTCACAGCACAGTTCATACCAGGACCTTCCTTTAAGGTTTAAAAACCTCAAACAGCATTATTTTGTTCTTAATACGAGAACCAGTGTTTAAACTATAAAATCCTTAATAGGAGTGTTCAGCCCAGTTGATTAACAAAAGTTATTTATAAATGCTTCAATACTGATGATATGAAACTGATGATATTAAAGCTACCAAAACTTTGTAATGAACACCGAGTTTGGCTTCCTAGATAAGAGTCCAAAGTCATTTGCCTTCTGAGAACATTTCAGAGATATGAAATATATGATATATAATTTCTCCAGCACTGTGGTATCTGCCTTCTAAGTTTTCCGTCTATCATAGTCTCCAACCATCTTCTTGATGTGTGACAATTTACTCTTCAACTGTTTGCAGTAATTTCTCTTTCTTTTGTAATCTGCAGATCCCTTAACTTGCTTCAGTCTATTGTATTCATCAGCAGCAGCCATGTACTCTTCACTTTCTTCTCTATAGTCATCCAATTCTTTATCTAGATGAGAGAGTTCTCTATTGACCTCGTCAAGTTCTGCTTGTAAGCTCTTGTATTCCTGCAGGCCAGTGTCAAAATTTCGCTTGTAGAGTTGTCTTTGTTGATCTGAAGTGATGGGTGGATATTCCCTGATCCAGTCCTCCTCCAGCTCATCACAGGATTCTCCACCCGTCGTGTAGTCTGTCTCATAGTGATCTTGCTCTATTCTCTTGGGCTTTCCTGCTCTTCCCTTAGTGGGAGCCCTTTTTGAAGGTGTCTCTAAGTTACCACTGCTGCTGTATCGAGGCTGTCTGAAGTCATCCATGGGTGAAGTGAGGGGAAGCTCCTGAGCCACTTCAGGCACCGGTGGTGTTGACTTATAGGAAGACTCTGGATATGACCGCTTGCCATTCACTTTGTCATTGGAAGAGTACACCATGGAACTATCGACTCTCTCCACGTAGTCAGATGGGGGTGGAGGTATGTCTTGTGTGCCTGCAGACACGTTTTTAACCCATTCTTCCACATTGGGTGGCTGTTCCTCATAAATGTGTTCTTTGTCCCACAAAATATTGGACTTGTCATACCGGTCCATCTTTCTTCGAGTTTTCACAGCAAAGAAAATTATTAAAGCAAAAGCCACAATAATCATGAATCCTAGCACAATGGCAATAGCCTCCTGGGGATCCACCACACAGTAGTGATACAAATACTGATCCACATAGATTCCAGTAACTGCAGGTGTATAGAACTGGTTGCAGAGGGCATATATTTGTGAACTATATAAAGATCCAGAAGCCTGGGCAGTTGGGTTGACTCCCATTATATAGACAATTGTGGCAATAAACACCAGGATACCTAGGATAGCACTCACTATTATCACAGTCAAGTAATATCCTCTTGTTCTGGATATTTCAGATCTTATAACACTGGTAACAAATATTGCCAATGAGGCAATGAAACAAAAGGCAGCCATGGCCAACAGGAAGCCCTTTGCCGCTCTTGGATCCGTATAGCCTCCTCCATAGCCATAACCGTAGCCATAACCATAGCCATAGCTGCCTCCATAGCCACCAAAGCTACTTCCTCCATAAGGGTAGCCAAAACCACCTCCTAGTAAGCCAGTTCCATAGCCTCTGTCCCAGGCAAGTGTGGAGGCAACACAGGCAAATATAGCAATACACATCACAATAATGAGCATAGACAGAATACGAATCACTCCTGGAGGAGATGTCCATTTGTAGAAGTGAAGAATTTCATCTTCTGGGTAAAAAGAATACGCAGGCTGAGAGAGCATTGGCCGAACATGCATTTCTCCACCATATATGTCATTGCTTGGTGCATAATGATTCGGTTTGAATTCATCAGGTCTATAAGGAGGTGGACTTTCAAAAGGCCTGGATGACATGGCTGATGTCACTGGTCACCTGCTTTAGGATGAGCAATTCCCTGTAGCTCCCAAGATCAGCCAATCTGGCAGGAACACCTGACTCCAAGTGGGCAGCCAGCAGGCAGCCAGAGACCGAGCCGGGGACTCAGCCTTCCTCCTCCTTCCCCTCACCCCAGAACCAGACAATCTTGAGTTCAAATCCCCCATCTACCACTTTGCATCTTTGATTTGAGGCATGTTATTTTTCTCTCTCAGTTTTTGATTGCTCATCTTTATCTACCTCATGGGGTTCTTGTGAGGAGTAAATAAGATAATATGTCTAAAGCATCTATCACAGAGCCTGTCCCAAAATTGGTACTCAATAAATGACAGCTGTTATCATTCATCTGTTACTATGTCCTCCATTATATAGCTACATATTCACTTCCATTAGAAACTGATGACCCTTTTGAGGAAATAAAAAGCCATATCTAAAGAACCATCTCATATTCATTTTTTTTATCACCAGACCTAGCAGATGGATGGATGAATAAAAGAATAAATGGCTACCTATAGAAATTAACAAACCCAGCACAGAGATCTGGGGAAACGCCTTTGGAGAATGTAAGGCAATTCTTTCTCACCTTTCACTTGACAGTCTCTGGCTCCAGATACAAGTTTGTTCTTATACAAATCCATGCAAGTTACTGTTCCCTGGTGGCCATAGAAGATCCGTAAGCAAACCCCAGTTTTCAGATCCCAGTATCTGCAGGAAACAGGCCAAAATAATGACTGGGATTTTCTGAGGGCCCAAGGGATCAATCACACTGTATAGTGTTTCTTTATATCAGTGGGTAGTTGGAAAGCAGCAGAGTTTCATGGTTAAGCTTAAGATTCAGACACCAGGACTTGAATCCCAGTTAAAGCACTATTTGGCGTAATTTTGGGAAAGTTACTTAATTTCTATGCAAGATCATTTTCTCATAGATACAGTGGTAATGGTAACAACAGTAGTTACTTTGTAGGATTTTTGGAAATAATTAATGCACTAATAGAGTGAGCATCAACTGGAAATGAGTTCTACCCTCAGAGGACATTTGGAAGTATCTGGAGAGATTTTTGGTGGTTACAAAAGAGATTTTTGGTGGGGAAGGAGGAAATAGAGTCCAAGGATACTACTGAACACCCCCAATGCACAGGGGAGCCCCCACAATGAAGAATTTTTCATCTCCAAGTGTCAATAGCACAGAAGTTTAGAAGCACTGCACCAATGCAGCTAACATTAGGACAGTGACCCACACATAGAAAATGCTTGATAAATGGTAGTTGGATTTAGTTGGGAGGGTCTCTGGAATGACCACCATGAATAGGATTCACAGTACTGATGCAATGGTAGACCTGATCTTAAAACAAAAGCAACAAAATAATTTACCATGTCACTTAGTTCAAAATATTTTATGCACATCTAAAGCCTATCTAAGATATATATGGGAACACATATATGAGTCATGCTATTTTTCAATGAGGAAACTTGCCTGAAGACTCTTCTCTGTCATTGAAAAATTCTTTCACTTTAGCCAAGCTGCTCTTGTGACAGGACAAAGTTATAATATTAAGATAACTGACTCTGGAGCCAGCTGCCTAAGGTTCAATTCCAGGTCCATTACTTACTATTTGTGTGATCTTTGGTAAGTTTTAGAACCACTCTGTGCCTCAGTCTCTTCCTCCATAAATTTGGAATAAAAACATTTCTTATTTCCCAAGGTTATTTTAGGCTCAGCACTTAGTGAATGATTAATAAGTGTTTCTTGGGACATGAAAAGTTTTTTTCCTTCTAATATTCTCCAAAGTCCCACAGCCTTACCAATACCTTCCCCAGAGCCTGCTATGCATCCTTTCAGAGCCTGCTATGCAGCCACAGTGAATTCACAGGAATATGAAAGAAAGCATGTTCTAAATTTGTTTCTAGTAGCATGGCAGTCCTTGTGCCCAGGTTGGTTTATGTAATGTATGGAAGAAAAGACATGATAGACATTTTTAGAAAATGGGAATAGAAGGAACTTCCTCAACTTAATGCAACTTTAAACCAAAGTCACAACAGTATGCACTATTCTTAATGAAGAAACTGCACTGCTGAGTCTTTTTGAGAAGAGAAACAAGGTGACAGTGGCCACTCTCATGTGCTGTTGCTTGCCATAGCACTGGAAATCCCAGGCAAAATTATAAAAAAAGGGAATATAATATATTGTCATTATTGGCACCTAATAAGATCACCTACAAAATAAAACCAAATCAATATTAATGCATTAATGCATACTTTTAGCACTAATAAGAGAGGTGAGCAAGATTGCCAAACACAGTATCAACCTGCATAGATCAATAGTATTTCTCTATTCCAGCAATAACCAATTAGAAAATACAAATTAAGATAGCATTCATAATAGCAATAGAATTATATATAGACATTTAATAAGAATATGCAAGATTTTTATAAAGAAAACTATAAAGTTCAAAGAAAGAGCCAAGAAGATGATGTCAATGAATGCATTTCAAAAATTAATCTATAAATTCAATGCAACACCAATCAAAACTCTTTTTAGGTTTTTTTAAATTGATAAACTTATTCCAAAAACTCATATGTATACCACAACTGTTAACATGGAAAAGAGTGGAACTTTCCTCACCATGATCTATTCACCAAATGCAGTGCTAAAAATAAAATATATATAAAAAATTTAAAACAGGGTAATTTTGATGCCATAATAGAAAAACAGCAACACGAATTCAGAGACATTTCCATGCATGTATGGAAAATGACCATGTGATAAATTGGGGTCCACAAATCAACAGAGGGCGGGGGGCAGAATAATTTGTCATCTTAGTAATTGCTGTGGGAGGAAAACTGTTCACTTTATCTAAAAATTTTTTTAAAAGTAATAGAAGCCCTATCTAACAAGCATACAAAGTAAAACTCCAGATAGATCAACTGACTATAAAAGATCAGACCATAAAGTCAATAACAGAAAATATTGGAAAATATCTCTGTGACCTCAAAATAGAAAGAACTACAAACATGAGAGGAAAAAATCCTGATAAACTGATGAATTTTATTACAACAATATTAAGAATTTTTGTTCAACAAAAGGGAACTATAAACATGGTTGATAAATTAAAGAATTGGAGATCATATTTGAAATTTTAAAACTGACAAGAGACCGTCTAATTGGTTGTTTTAGGCTGTTCTCTGAGTTCTGTATATACATTTTATCTACTTGCTTTTCTAGTAATGGACACTAGATTGGATTGGCTCTAAATAATGCTGTATTGAACATCTTCATTTATGTCCCTTTGATGATGTAAGATGATTTTTAGGAATATGCACAAAAAATGAACTTGCTTAGATACAGGATAGGCAGCACCTAATTTGATTAAGAAGTACCTATTGAAGTCTGGAAAGATCTAGAAAAAAATACAACAGCAAATCAATAAGAAAATTGGAGCAGCTTTAAAGGAAAAGTAGGCCAAAGAACATAATCAGGCAATTTACAAAAGAAGAAGTCACCAAAGGTAAACTTATTAGTAATCAGAGTAATGCACATGGAAATGATTTTACACATATTCATCTGGCAAAAGTTTGAAAGCTGGATGATGTCCTGTGTTGGTAGGGAAATAGGGATGCTGGAGCCCTACTGGTAAAAGCATAGATCTGTACAGTGTTTCCAGACTTCAATATGGTACTTCTTAATCAAATTAGGTGCTGCCTAACCTGTATCTAAGCAAGTTCATTTTTTTTGTGTGTGCATATTCCTAAAAATCATCTTATATCATCAAAGAGACATACATGAAGATGTTCAATGCAGCATTATTTATTTATTTATAAAGTTAGTTAGTTTTTTGGTGGACACAATATCTTTATTTTATGTGGTGCTGAGGATCGAACCCAGTGCCTCATGAATGCTAGAGGAGCACTCTACCACTGAGCCACAACCCCAGCCTGCAGCATTATTTAGAGCCAATCCAATCTAGTGTCCATTACTAGAGAAGCAAGTAGGTAAAGTGTATATACAGAACTTGGAGAACAGCCTAAAACAACCAACTAGATGGTAACATGGGTGAATCTTTTGAAATATAGGGTGGGGGTTCAAACCTTAGGAACATAGATGCAAATTATTGATACATGTACAGAATTTATCAATACACATTTTGAAAGAACACACCTAAATAAAAAGAAGAAAAATTAGGTGGTAGTCCAGTGGATAATAGAAGTAAAGAATAAAGGTAAAATAGCATAAATAAATAGTGTTAGCCATTAACACATACTACCAGACAAAAATTAAGAATTTCTGTTCATCAAAAGATGCCATAGAAAAATGAGAAGATAAGTCTTAACATGGAAGAAGAAATTTCCAATACAAATATAAAGAAGAGATTCGTATCCAGAAATTACACAAAATTCTTATGAAAATGTCGCTCCCTTCAAAAAAGAAGTAACTCTTATAAAAAGGAATCTCATAAAAGCATAAATGTCTCCCAAAACATATTGTTATGGTTAATTTTACATGTCAACTTGCAGAGAAGGTGCTTTGGAATGAGAGTAATATTTACATTGAACTTTGAGTGAAGCAGATGGCCCTCTAAAATGTAGACAGTCCTCATTCAATCAGCTGAAGGCCATGTACAGAACAAAAACGTGGATCTCCCCTAGCAGGATGGAGTTTTACAGAACATTGCCTTCAGCCTTTATCTGCACCTTAAGTTCTGCAGAGCTCAGCCTTCCAGGCCAGACTACAGATTTTGAATTTGCCCACCTCCATAACCACACAAACCAATACCTTACAATAAATCTTCATTTATGTACACATCCTATTGGTCTTGTTTCTCAGGAGAACCCTGATGTACATATGGGGAAAAAAATGTTCAATCTCACTAGAATAACCAAGGTTAGAATCAAAACCCTGAGGAGGTTTTATTTAATACCCATCAGATTGGAAGAAATGTCAAAGACTGATTGACAAAAAATCTTGGTGAGCTGGGTGCATGCCTGTAATCCCAGAGGCTCAGGAAGCTAAGGAAGGAGTATCGCAGATTCAAAGCCCAGCCTCAGCAAAAGCGAGATGCTAAGCAACTCAGTGAGACCCTGTCTTTAAATAAAATACAAAATAGGGCTGGGGATGTGGCTCAGTGGTCAAGTGCCCCTGAGTTCAATCCCCAGTACCCATTCCCAACAAAAAGTACTGGTTAGTGTTTATAAGGAGGGACATTCTCATACCCTGTGGATGGAGGTATAAATTAATCCAACTATTTTGGAAAACAAAAATTCCCCTACTGAGAAGATATCTTTAAAAAAAAATCATGCATGTGAGTACCAGGTAATTCCAAGACCATCTATGGCAGTATTCTTAGAAAGAATTAAAAACTAGAAATAATACAAATGTCCATCAACAGAATAGTGTGAGTTACAATATATTCATCCAATAAGATATTATATCTCTGTGAAAATAATGACTGCTACCTACATCATATGGATCAATCTCAAAACAAAGTTCAGTGTAAGATTCAAGTACTGGGGCTGGGGTTGTGGCTCAGCAGTAGAGTGCTCGCCTAGCGGGTGGGAGGCCCGGGTTCGATCCTAAGCACATAAAAAATAAATAAATAAAGATATTAAAAATATTTTAAAAAGATTCAAGTACTGATGAATTTTTAAAACATGATTCCATTTATGTTAAGTTCAAAAATAGGCAAAAATAATTAATATACTGGAGATATATAAACAAGAAGCAGAAACTATAAATAAACACAAGGGAATAGTCAATACAAAATTTAGGGTAACATTAACCCTAATTGGAAAGAGGATAAAAGCAATAAGAGAAAGGCACCCATGGGTGATGGAGGAGAGGTAATGCTCGGTCTGAGAAATGGGTAAAAGAGTGTTTATTATTCTGCTTAAAATATATGAATACATACGTGAATACATACCTTTAATGTTTTTATCATAGTTATATATAATGTTGGGGTTCATTTTGACATAATCATATATGCATAGAATATAATTTGCTCTACTTCAGTCCCTAGTACTTCCCCTTTTCCTCCCCTCCTCTCTCCCCCTGTTCCCCTTCCTCTACTCTACTGGTCTTCCTTCTATTTATTTAAAGATTATTTTAAATTAGTGCATGAAAAAAACAAAAACAAAGTACAGGTATAAAGACATGAATTGGTGTGAACATACACTATATACAAAGATATGAAAAATTGTGCTATATATGTGTAATAAGAATTGTAATGCATTCTGCTGTTGTATATTTAAAAAATAAAATCAATTAAAAAAGACTACAAAGTAATAATAATAACCAATGAATAGGAATGGGTAGATGTATAAATGAAATAATAATGAGGGCTGGGATTGTGGCTCAGTGGTAGAGCGCTCGCCTTGCATGAGCGGGACCCAGGTTCGATCCTCAGCACTATATAAAAAAATAAATAAATAAAGGCATTGTGTTGTGTCCATCTACACCTAAAAAATAAATATTTAAATAATAATAATAATAATGATGATGATGATGATAGAATGTTGATAATTGTTGAAGGTTGGTTGTGGGCACATGGATATTATTGTACTATTCTGTTTATTTTTATATTTTTTAATTTTAAATAATAAAAAGCTTTTAAACCATGATTGAAAAAATAGAAAAAAAGAAATTAGTGCATAGATGTATATATTTTTAAATACCATTTTCTCCTATACTTCGTACTCACAAAAACTATCATTCATTGAAGGCAGCTACTAAAAGAAGTACAGATTTTATCTTTATTTAAGAATGCTAAAAAAAGAGAGAGACTTTTTCTGATTCACAGTCACCCACTGGGAATACAACTGATAAGTTTATGAATCTATCCCATTTAAGTAAATTCTTGACTTTTACCTTGTCAAAAAAAAATCCATTGTAGGTTTTCTAAAAATTAGTATTATTGAGAATGACTTTTCAATAAATACAAAAAGTCTGTACACTTCTTCCACTTCTGACTCTAGACCCTCGGTCTGTTGGCAATCATTACCTCTTTGGACCACTCACCTGATGCTTAGGTCGTAACTCCCGCTTAGGAGAAAGTGTTCCCCCTCACACAGGAAGAGAGTCCGGATACTCCCCACATGGCCTTGGAATTCAATAGGTATAACCTTGATTTTTAAGATGTTAAGAAGTTTGATCTTCCTATTAGATGACACAGCTATCAACTCTCCCCCAGAATAATGGATCACTCTGTTCTGGTCCCACCTGAATTTTGGGATGGGGATGGGGAAATGGATTATACATGAAAGAAAAGTTAGCATCCTTCCTGGATCTTACTTAGCACTGACTTTTGTATACTGTGGTTGTATAATGGAAAATCTAGGACCTCCCTTGCTGAGAAGGGAGACAGCAGAAGGCAAGACCTAGTATTAACAGACCCTGATGATTCCAACCTCATACCATGAAAAAAAAATCCGTTTCAGGTAGATTTAAAGCCTAAAGACATAAGTCCAAAATTATAAAAAAAAATTTAAAATTATTCTGCTAATGTATGCTAAATCCCCAAGAAAGAGAATAGAATATGTGGCATTCCCCAAACTTATTGGACCATGGAAATCTTTCTTCATGGAAAATCTCAGAGGAAGTCCTATGTTCATCTGTGTTTCTTCTATTTCTTTCCTTTCTTTTTCCTTTTCTTCTTCCCTTCTTTCTTCCTTTTCCTTAACTAATATCTAAGGAACATTTATTAGGTCCAAATTTCTGTGCTAGTAGGTACCATGGGAAATAAAAAAATGAATAAGATACAAACCTTGCTCACCAAAAGCTTAGAGTTCAATAAATCCAGGTAAGTTGAATTAATTTTCCAATAATAGAATTATTATGAAGTAACTAAAATATTTTCAGGATAACCAAATAATTTATTATCCAAACTGAGACTTTCTTGTTGTGAAAGAGGATGCTATTAGTCAGTATACTAGGAACACAATAAAATGGAATTGTCTCAATAATATACTCACTCTAAATATGAGGAGCAATTCTTTAGATTTTTGTCTTCATTCCATTTGTCATATTCAGAGTTTAACCAGTCATCATCTAAAGAGTAATTATCACCATACTTACCCATAAAAATTCAACCCTGGAGCAGGAAGAATAGATAGTATTATGGTTTAGATCTAGACTGTCTCCTAAAACCTCATGCATTGAAGGTTTGATCCACAATGTAGCAATATTTAGAGTGGAGCTTTTGAGAAGTGATTAGGTCATGTTCTGGCTGCATCAGTGGATTAATCCATTGAGGGATTAATGTTTGATGGCATTATTTGGAGATGATGGAAACTGTAGGTGATGGGGCCTCACTAGAGGAAAGATATTACTGGAGACCCACCCTAGACGAATAGACCCTTTCCTTGCACTCTCTCTCTTTTACGCTCTGCTTCTCAGCTGCTATAAGGTGAATAGCTTTCTTCTAACATGCCCTTCCACGATGTCCTTCCACCATTATGTTCAGGCCCAAAACAATGGAGCCCAGCTGAGTATGGATTGAAACCACTGAAAGTGTGAACCTAAATAAGTCTTTCCCCCTCTAAGTTGTTTTTCTTAGGTATTTTGTCCCAGCAATGGAAACCTAACTAACACAGCTAGCTCAGTGGTAGAGTTCTTGCCTAGAATGTGCAAGATCCCAGGTTCAGTCCCTAGCACTGGAAAAAGCAATAACAAAAACCTTCAATTCTGTCTTCCCCATACTGATTGGTCTATTTTTGAGATGCATTTTGTTAATAAAATTCATGGCCAACATTAAAGTAGAGGTGGCACAACCAAATGATGTCACATTATGCAATACTTATAAATACAACTGTCACATTTAATGTGGAAAGATATCCACCGTGTTTTGCTGGATTGGATTACAAAAACATATAGCATAATCCTATTGTTTTTCAAAATATGTCCTATGCAGGGGCTAGGGTTGTGGCTCAGTGGTAGAGCACTTGCCATGCATGCGTGAGGCCATGGGTTCCATCTTCATCACCACATACAAATAAATAAGTAAATAAATAAAAATTAAAGATATTTTAAAAATTATGCCTTATGCATATGAAAAGAAAATGCTAGAGAATAGACATCAATATTAATGGCAGTTATCTCTATGTGACAAAATTTTAGATGTTTTCTTTTCTCTACACTTTTTCTGGAATTTGGAGGATTTTCCCCCAATAAGCACATATTCTTTCTTTAATTAAAACAATAAAGATATTCTAAAAAAATATTTTATGCACATAACATGTGAAAAATGTTGGTGGTCAGCATACCCAAAATTTATTCAGAGAAAATGTTCTCTCCCTACTACCAAGAATGGTGCAAAATTAAGCACATATTGTTCAAAGAAGATCTCATGCTAGTTCAGGGGCAGGGGTGAGAAGATCTTTCTAAGCTGACAGGGGTCAGGAGAATTCTAAGATGTCAATGTAGTTAATCAAAGTGTCCCAGAAAACCTTGATTCTGACTCCAGTACTTACGTGTCAGAGAGAATGCGGATATTGTAGGTCCCACAGAAAACATTTCTCTCCTCCATCTGGACCTGTTGAGTTTCCTGGTTCTGGTATGCAGTCCACAGATTGTAGTCACTCTAACAAGGGAATATGTGAAGTCAAAATGTGGCATCAACTTTATCCAGGGCTCCTGATACTCCTCCAGTCTCCCCTGGCAATGGTGCAAAGACCCATGGATTCTTTCTTCTAAGAGTGTGGCTTCTGCTTCATGGTGAAAGGGGAAAGCCCATGAGTTGGCACCAAAATAATCCATGAGTTATATAGAACATGCTCAGTTAAGGGTCCTAATTGATCTTTCCCCTCTGTATTTTCTATATGTTCTGATTCTAGGAGCTTTTAAGGATGAATTCCAAATAATGCTGAGAATGCAGCTTTTCTGCAAATGAGCTCACAAAGGCTCATTTATATATATATATATATATATATATATATATATATATATATATATACATACATACATATATACATATAGTATATAATTAAGCTACACTCTTTGTACATTTCTGTTTCTGAATTTTCATACATCTTCAACTTTCATTGTTCTGAGAGCTGCCTAATGAGGTAGACCACTTGCTCACAAAATATTCTCATCACCTTAACAGATAATATATCTGGGACTCAGGGAGGGGAAATAAATTTTATAAAGTCTCAACAGAAATGTTTTCCTGTGTTTCTCAATATATTTTTTCTTCCTTTTATCCTTCCTTCCTTCCTTACCTCTTTTCCTTTCTTCCTCTTCCCTCTCTCCTTCCCTCCCTCACTCATGACACACTTCCTGAGCAGCTATGGCATGCCATGCATGATAAATTCTGATATAGATGATTGAACAACACTCCTAGTTCCTCTTCTTCTCAACCATACTTAACCCTTAAAGAGCAGGAAACAACACTGGCAAGAAAAAATAAAAGACAGCAAGTTTATCATGAAAGCAAAAAAGAAGACCACAAAATCACACTTGCATCTGACAGCCTTGGGGACATCCTTGGATCTCCTTCCAAACCTTCTCCTTCTCCTTCATGCCTTTGGACTCTTCCTCAGATGCCCTCTTTCTCTGCCCAATCTCCTCCTTAATCTTTAATCAAGTAGTGACACTCACCTACAAATCTCTGCTCAGAATGTGCCAGCCTTCCTCCCCTCCAGCCCAAGCAACATTCCATATCCCCACTTGAATTAAACAAGGCTTCCCTGGTTTCTCCCAACAAAGATGGAAATTCCTAGGCCCTCCATTATCTCCTCGGTTTTGGGAGCCCTGGAAGGCACATGGTGGAATCATTGGGAAGGAGAAAACACAGCTCTACCCCTCACCAGCTAGGAGACCTCAGCAAGTTTTCTAACATCATAGTCTTAATTTCTACATCCATAAACTAGGAGGGATTATACCTACTTGATCCACAGTGAAAAATCAAATAAATGATGTATATAAAGCCATCAGCACCTTGTCTAACATACTCCTCGCCTTTAGTAGAGAGTGCCTATGGTGAGAAGCATTCACCTCCATTTGTCCCTGGGCAATGGTGCAAGGACCCATGGATTCTCTCTTCTAAGAGTATGGCTCCTGCCTCATGGGGGCAGAGCCTGTAACTGCTTCATCCTGTTATTTTATATGTTCTCTCTAGTCTTCATACTTTCTTCCTTGTTTCTATTTCCCCTCCTTTTTTAAGACATTTCTGAAATGCCAAACCTTGCCTTGAATATCCCTTTTGTTGGTCAGTTACAAATTCCATCAACTAAAGTAAAGAATAAGGGCATTTGTTTCATTAGACTTAGAAAAGAAATAAACTTGGGAAGGTCAGGGTTGAGTTCAACTTGTGCCTCTTTCATGCAAATGTCTGGGAGACCTTGACTTCTCTGAGCCTCACTTTCTTTATCTATAAAATGGGTGAAGGAGATTCTGTTGAGAGTCATCCATGGGCTGTGTGTGGACTGTGCTGCACATTGTAGCCTAGTGAGGGGATAGGTCTGGCATTGGGAACTTCCCATGGCACCCCAACAGGGATAGACCACCTGATGCAGGTGAACTTCCCCCTCAGCTCTGCCAAAGATCCCACATAGCATCTGAGATGGGTGTGACCTGCCATGATGCCAATAAACCTGCTGACTGCAAAACATCTACCCTTGAAGCCTTATCCCTGCCTCTGATCCACCCCCTTAAATAACCACCAGAGCCATCTTTCCCTTGTCTAGTTCCAGCTCTTGCGCGGACTGATGTATCAGGGGCTCTGCTTTTGTAAATATATTTCTGCCTCTTTGTGTTTTGTTCTTCACTAATTATTTAGACTTTAAGTTTTAAGGTGGCGTACACCCTCCTCAGCAGGAAGAAGAACCCCCCCCCCCCCCCCCCCCAACAAGACATTGGCCACGGGCCACTGCTCCCATTAAGATTCACAAATGTATTTTCTTTGGCCCATGAAATGCCTTTCACTGCTTGCCATTAATTAAGAAAAGCAAAAAATTTCACATAATCATTCAGATTTCCTCTTGAAAACTCATATGTCCTGGCAGGCAGGGGGCAGAGTTATCATAGTAATAATTAGCTGAAGCTGAGCAGTGACTGGCCCCTTTCAGTAGGGAGTGAGCTCTCTAGTTCATCACAGTTTCAATGTCCTTTACTCTCCCCACTGTCTGCTCCCTGATCTATGTGACCTACCTGTCGCTACACAGAAGCTAAGTGATCTCTCTGGGTGCTTCTATTGCTTAAATTCTTAGTTATGCCACATAAGGAAGCTAAAGTCAGACCACCCTTCATCTAATATCCCTTCTGGGCCAACTAAATAGTAGGAACTTCATCAGAGAGGTGGGGGAAGGAGTCTAGTGTTCTTAGGAGTAACTACCATGCCTGCAGACTCAAAGCTGCAAGAGTCTTTCCTTTACTCTACTTTATCACTGCCTAAGAATAGATGGGGTGATCTTATCTAGAATCTCTCCTTCCATCCAAGAAACGAAAAGAACCCAGATGTGAGAGTTGAGAAGGCGGACCTTTTGGATCAACCCTGGTCCTCCTCTCAAGTCTTTTCTCATTCCTGAGCAGCAGATTCAAGTAGCCTCAAGATGGATGGGCTGAGAGAGTTGAAGGAAACCCCAGCTCAAAGCTGAATTCACTCCTGGTCTCTGAGCTCTCCACTAGATGATCTAGTGCCATGAACACAGGTCCTGGCCACAGGATATGAGCCAAAAAGAATCCCGAGAGGACAACCCAATCAATCTATTCATTAAACAGATGGGGAATCAAGATCTATGGAGGGGAAGTGACTTGCAACTTGGTAGCAACACAGAACAACTCTGGTCTCCCTTAGGGAATAGTGCCTCCTACCATCACTATCCTTTCTTGAGGACTGAGTCTCTATGTCAGCCTTCAATGGCCAATAGGAGCATTGGACACTCATGGAACTTGCCCCAGGCGCCATTAAAACTCACCTTTGTTCTCAGTTTCCACTTGGGATTTTTGGTACGCATGCGCTTCCCATCATCTCCTATTTTAGGAACTGGGATAGAAAGCTTGTTGGCATAATTGGGATCTATTCCTTTTGTGTAGGATCCCTGGAGAGGGGAAAAAAAAAACAGAAAATGGCTGCTCTTGGATAGCTGCACTCTCATTTATTGCAGCAATATTCACAATAGCCAGGTATAAAAATGTCCTATTCATGGTGAATGGCTAAAGAAAATGTGGTATATACAACCGAATACCATCCTGTCATTAAAAAAAAGGAAGGAAATCCTGTCATTTGCAACAATGTGGATGGCAGTGAGGACATTATGCTAAGTGAAATAAGCCATGCACAGAAAGATAAATACTATGTCAATGGGCCTCATGTGCGGAACCTAAAAAAGCTGACTTCATACAAGTGGAGAGTAGAATAATGGTCAGCAGAGGTTGAGGTATTTCAGGTGGAGTGGAGATGGAGAGATGTTCATCAAAAGATTCATAATTATAGTTAGATAAGAGAATTAAATTCAAGGGGTCTATTGTGTAGCAGGTGACTGTAGATAATAATGATATATATTGCATTCTAGAAAAATGCAAAGAGAGTAGATGTTAAGTGCTCTCGCACCACAAAATTGAGAACTATGTGAGGTGATGCATTTGTTAATTAGCTATGTTTATGAAATTTTTTATAAAACAAGAATTGACAACTCTTCATTCCTTCTCTTCAGGAGAACAGAAAAGACTAGTTTTAGGTAAAATCTGAAGATGGGTAAACTCTGGCCAGGGAAGGAAGGTCCAAGTCTGGCCAGTTATGCCAATGTTGTGCATGGACCAATGGAGGAGGAGGATGAATACCAAATGCCTGGAGGAAAACCAGCAAGAGATGGTCATCAGTTTCCAGATGATGACCTGCCTTACCATGCCTGTGTCTTCTCATCCTTTGTCACCTACCTCTGCTGGGGGGAAAAAAATTCAAGACCACCAAGATATCAGGCAAGAAACTGAGTAGTAAAAATGCCAGAGATAATGACTGTCAGGTAGAAAATTTCATATGGACCTAAATATATTCTTGGTGACCTTGTAAACTTCTCTATAGCGTGAGTTTGGTTCAGAAGCGTATTCATGGCTTTCTTATTGTGTAAGCTCCAATATGAGTCCTTGGGTGGGGGGTTGAAAATTCCCTGCTTTGTGAGATTATGTTTTGCTTCATGTTTTGCAGCTCTGGGGATGGATCCCAGGACTTTATTCATACTAGGCAAGTGCTCTACCACTGAGATACATCCCAAGCCCTGGCAGTTTTGGAAAGGCTTGGCCTCTCTGTTACAGACAAATTTTTATACATATTGTCCCTGATATGTACACTGACAATAGAAGGGTAAATGGTGACCAATAGGGAGTCCAGACAACAAGAAAGTGGCTACTAATACCTAACAAGCAGCTAATGTGAAGCAGGAGGCCAGCTGAGGGCCTGCCAGGGAAATGAAAAGGCTCATAGTTAGGTAAACCTCAACATGGAAATGAAGGTGGTCTCCAGAGATGCCCCTCCCAGACTGGAAATACCTGCAAGAGGGCAATTTGGTTCTGAATGAAGGTTTGTGTGTTCAACTCCATCTTCACCTGATGAGCCATCGCAGCCCAGTGCTGGCTTACAGAGGCACACTTGTTCAGAGTGTTTCTATCGAGCATTCCTAGGGGAGAGGTAAAAAACAGAAAGATGGGCCCAGAAACCCCAGGATTGGGCCAGAATGGGAGGTCTCTGAGGACTCCCCTCATCCACCCCAGCATACTTAGAATGTACTTGGAGAGATGGAGAGGGAGGTGACGGATAAAGTCCCGGTATCTGCTGTAGCCACAAGACAGGTCTCTGACATCATCCAGGTTTATCAGCAGATTGCAGGAATTGTCTTCTGATCTCGATGTGATTGTTTTTCCAGAAAACATTCTGTTCATCTCGGAAATACACTGCAGTGTATTCTTCCATTGTCCCTCTAGAGTGAAGCCAGAGAAGGGTGCATGGTTGAGTTGTCTCTACAGTAACTCTAGCCTCAGAACAAATCCTCACCAAAAGCTTCCCTCCCAAAAATAAAGCTTATGCAAGTGAGCTCATGCAACATATTCTTCTTATCTCTTCTGCCACATGAAAATAGTACTTCCTGACCCAAACATGCAATTCCTTTACTGCCTTCTCAGTGACAGGAGATGTCTAAAGTAGCAAAGCCTGAAATGACATCGTGTCTGGAATTTCTTTGAAAATATCCCAACAAGAAAAAAATTAAGCAATTTTTAAGGGGTAGAGATGGATAAAATAAGATTAGTAGGGTTTGAGATGTAGCTCAGGGTAGATGCTTGCCTAGCAAGTATGAGACCCTGAGTAAACTATTGACAATTGTTAAAGCTGAATAATGGTTATATGGATGATTTATTAGACTGTTCTATCTACTTAAAGAAAACATATATATTACTTTTAGTTGGACACAATATCTTTATTTTATTTATTTTTATGTGATGCTGAGGATTGAACCCAAGGCCTCACACATGCTAGGTGGGCACTCTACCATTGAGCCACAACCCCAGTCCTGTTCTATCTACTTTTAAAGTTTGGAATTTTCCATATAAAAGGTGTTTTAGAATTTATGCTTTGTGTTTCTCATGATTATTTTATGTACTAGTCATATGCCACACATTATTGACTGGTGTTTCAGTCAATAATGGACCATGTGTATGATGGTGGTTACACCATATAGCCTATGTCTACTATGTCTACTATGGTGTATAGTAGGCTATACAACATCTTGGTTTGTGTAAGTACACTTTATGTTGTTCACACAATGGTGAAATCAACTAACAACATGTTTCTCAAAATGCATCTCTGAAGTTAAGATGATTCATGAGTGTACATGTCTTATTTCAAAAACAAACTTAGGAGGGCCTTTGAGATCAGGGACCAAATTCCTCACTGCTTTAGTTTCTTCCTCAAGACTAAATCCAAAGCTTAAAAAAAAATTAGCCACAGGTGAGTTGGATCTTAGAGGTACCCATGCACCATGCCAAAGCTCAGAGCTGGATGGTGGGTTATGACCTGGGACAGAAGGAGATATCATAAGAAGCTCTGTAAAGTTTCCTTTTTGATCTTTACTTCCAGATGTCTCTCATAAGCATCATGGTGGAAGGGCAAAAGCATGAGCTTTGGGGTCATACTGACTAATTTTTATCCTTCATCCCTTACCAGGTTACCAGCTGTGAGGAGTAAATGAGAAAAAAAAAAAAAAAAAAAAAAAAACCATCAATGAGCCCAACATACTGGAGATGATGAGTGAATGTCAGTTCCCAAAATCTGTTACAATCAGAGGTCACTGCCCTCCCAGCCCCTCCAACTCCACTAAGACTCCCCAATCATATATTCAGAGACTCTTCAATTTACATAGGGTTACATCCTCCACAAATAAAAACATCCCTAAGTTAAAAATACCATAACTTGGGCTGGCATTGTGTCCCAGTGGTAGAGCTCTTGCCTCGCATGCGTGAGACCCTGGGTTCGATCCTCAGCACCACATTAAAAAAAAAAAAAATACCATAACTCAAAAATGCACTTGATCCACTCTAACCCATTGTTAAGTTGAAGAAAAAACACAACAAGTCGAGTCATCACAAATAAAGATACTTCTGACTTAAGGTGAGATTATATCCCAAAAAACCCATTGTAAATTTTAAAAAGTGATGAGTTGAAAGTGCTAAGCCAGTAGTTGTACACTGGCTTTCTTGCTAAAAGCTGACTTACCAGTATGTGATGCTTCTCTCTCCAGCTTTTCAGGCACTGTTTTATTTCCTGGGGCTTTAGACAACGGGAAAGATGTGGGCTTGAGTTTAGCTGCCCAGAAGATATGTGAAGTCTTAGACTTGGGGTCGTAGCCTTTCTCAGGGAAAAAACTCACATGGGCAGAGTCTTGACTAAGCGCTGAAGAACAAAACACCAAGACAAAGATGCTCTTCAAGCAGGTATACAGAACATGAGGCGGAGGTCAATGGTTTTATTTTTCCTTATTTCTTTTAAGAACAGTCTGTATCTGTAGACTGTTTCTGCAGGTTTTTCATTCTTGGATTCAACCAATCGCAGATATAAAATATTGAGGAAAAATAATGAATCTGTACTGAACATGTACAAACATTTTTTTTCTTGTCATTATTCACTAAGCCATATAGGATAATAACTTTTTTGCATAGCATTTGCATGTATTAGGTATTATATAAGCAATCCAGAGATCTCTAGTACTCTAGAGGATCTCTAGTATCTGAGAGGTTCTATGCAAATACTGCACCATTTTATGAACATGAATAACTGTCTTAAATCAAGTTAGAAAACTTAACTCTTTAAGAGAGAATATGTCCTAGGAAGAAGAGGGTCACCACAATTTATAACTGAACTTATTAGCTCTAACATAAAGAGCTGATTCCTAGAGTGCATGGTGGAGCTTTTGAAATACACCACATGAGTATGTTCCACCATGGGAGATGTTCAGGAGAAGACACAGATATCAATTCACTTGCTGAGTGACCTAAGCTCAGTTGCTCAGATTCCCCAGACTGTGGCTTGCTTATCTATAAAATTAAGGAATGGGACTGTGTGATCACCAATCTAACTCATGGTTTTGACACGCCAGTCTTCTATCATTTTTCACCCCAATTATCATTCTTTTATATCCCTGACATAGATGAAAACAAGTGAAATACTTAGGGATCAAATTGTACCCTAGGACCCTGAACCATGTACAACCAGAGGAATGAGAAGTTGTGCTTCATCTGTGTACTATACGTCAAAATGCATTCTACTGTAAAATAAATAAATAAATGAAATTTTTTTAAAAAATCGTGCCCTAGGTTATTTAACTTTAAGATTCCTTTGGATTTCATTAGCCTGCAAACATGATCACAACTCAAGCCTCCTTGACAATAGGAATTACCCATCTTCAAGAGCTCAAATTCCAAAACCCCTCCAAGAAACTCACCCTTCCCACTCTTTTCCTACCCCAACCCCCCTTCCCTTCCCCTTGCTGGAAATTCCAACTCTTAGTCCCCTCCTAATCTTGAGTCCCTTGCCTCTCTTATGGTTCCTTTTGCCTTCCTAAACCAGCTGGATACCCTACAGACTAGTGGCATTAGCAATAGCTGAAAACTTATTAAAAATACAGCATATTGACTACCTCAGACCTAATGAGTAAAAAGTTCTACTGCAAGAGGACAACAATCTGTTTTAACAAGTGTAACTGGAGACTCTGATGGAAATACAGTTTGAGAACTACTGCCCTAGAATCATTTGGATGTTTAGCTACCTCCAACCTTGAATAAACTCCACTTCAAGATTTGATTCTATGATAAAAAAAAAAATAGGGCAGAATGAATGTTTTTAAAGTCCTAAGCTCTAACCTCTTGGCTTGGTTTCTGAGCAGGGCTATTGAAGAACAAACCAGTTTTGCAACTTCCCCATTACATCCCTCCCAAGCCCAGTCTAATAATCCCTAATGCAGGAATGAAATGATACCAGCACTGAGTGGTCAGAGGCAGGGACCAGCCATTTCTGAACCTAAGTCATGCAGAAACCCATTTCAGATCCTCACAGTTTCAAGTCCTAAACTTCCTCCTGCATTGGCCATTTTTTTTTTTTTAGTTTTCTAGAAGGAAGTCACATTCAGTGATTTCTCCTTGGGCAAACAAGATCAAATGTCAGGACAAGGTTCAAAGAAGACTTTCCTGCATTACACAGTATTCATCTGCCTAAGCTTGTCTGCACCTGCTGCTCCTTGTAGTCTTGCTTTCTGGTCTCCCAGGGCCCTCTTCTCCCTACCTGTTTACCTGAGATATTGTTCCACTCTCTCAGAAACAGGACTCTGATCACATCGGCAGCCATGAGCAGTAACTTGGTGTCACACATCTGCAGCAGCAAAAGAGTGTAATTTGCCTTCGTCTGGTGGGTGCTATTGCCAAACCAGTACAAGATCTCACTCAACTTTTCTTCCGCAGTTTTATCCAACATTTGGTTCAAGGAGGATTTCGCTTTCCCCTCCATCCTGAGATTGATCCGGGACCTGTTATAGATGAAATCCTTTCCCTGGGTAGTCTGAAGGATATTTTGGAAGTAGTTTAACAAGTACAAGCTGTTTAACTGTTCCAGAATGCTAACTAGAAACCTCCTCTGCGACATGCTGCTGATCCTTCGGAACCACTCTTTGGTAGAAAAGATCTTCCAGGCTAAGATACATGTTTCACACTTCTGGCACAAAGGGACCGAATCGTTTCCCTTCTCACAACGAAAATAGGGGGCATTCTTGAGCCTTGGTTCCAGGTTTGCCATGATCCTGAGATAACCAGATCATTTTATCCTTGCCAGTTAGAAACTCTGTACCAAACACCGGAGGAACAGAGAAAGTGGACAAAAGCCCCTACTGAGCCTTTTCTGTTATAAACATCTCCCGGAGAAAAAGTAAACCATAGTGACCAATGGAAAGTTTATCTGTCCCAGAAACTGCCAGTAGAAGTCTGGCTTTTTGTACTGACCTCCTTGGAAACATGGCTTTACCGTAAATCTCCTAAACCTGGCACTGCTTTTGTGGAGGCAGTTGCTGTATATTCTGAAAGAGCTGGTCATCTCATTTCTAGAATGAGAATACTGCAAAAATTTAAATAATATGTGCCTTTTAAAGAGGAAAAAAATACCATGTAGCTTGGTGTTGCACTTCAATTGTTGTTATTAATGACTTTTAAATCTTCATAAATATTTAATTAGATATAAGCTTCTTATGTTTATAGCTATTCAGTTATAAGGTGGCTATCTCAATGATCCCGAAGAAGTTTATATTCAATTTCTTAAGGCATCATCAAAGTAAAACCACAGATATTTAAATTACATTGAAATTGTTTAACTGCTTCAGAATGCTAACCAGAAATCACTTCAGAGAATCACACTGAGGTACAGAAAATTTTACTTGACCTGAGAATATGTGGGGGGGGTGGACTGCCAGATGCAATAACATACCTATCTATGTGTAGGGGACACAGCACAGCTCATCAGCAAAGAGTGGAGGGTCTGGGGTTAGACTGCTGGGTTGGGACCCCAATACAGCCTTTTACTAGCTCCCGTGAACACAGGCAGATTATTTAATCCTCTATGTTTCACTGTCCTCATCTGTAAAATATAGACCACACTAGTTCCTACTTCTAATGCTATAATGAATATTCAGTGAGAATCTACATGCAAAGCACTTAGAAGATTGCCCAGTACCTGTGTAGCCCTTTATACAAGCTAACCTGCATGGTATTGTCATCATGATTACTGTCGTCCCCACTTAGCCATGGGGATGCATCCAAATTCCCAGTGGACACATTAAAACCACAGATAGTAAAAATCCTTACATGTATTATGCTTTTTCCTATACATACATAGCTATGAAAAAGTTTGATTTATAAATTAGGCACAGCAAAATAAATTAGACTCAGAAAGACAAGTAACTCATGTTTTCTCTCATATGTAGAATCTGGGTGGGGAAGACAATATGAAAAAAGAAGGGGGCACTGTTAGGGAAAGGAAAGGGTTCATGGGGGGGAGGGTAAGAAGGAGTAATAGGGATGGCAGATATGATCAAAGCATGCCATATGCATGTATGAAAATGTCACAATGAAACCCATTATTTTGTACAATTAATATGTGCTAATAATTATAATATATAATTATATGCCAAAATTAAATAAATGAGGCACAGTAAGAAAATAATGGTGACTAATAAAAAATAGAAAAATTATAATAATATAATAAAAGTGTGTGAATGTGGTCTTTCTCTTTCAAAATATTTTATTGGACTGTACTCACCACTGAGCTGCATCCCCAGTTCTTTTATTTTTCTTTTTTTAATTTTGAGACAGAGTCTCAAAATTAAGTTGTTGAAGGCCTTGCTAAGTTGCTGAGGCAGGCCTCAAACTGGGGATCCTCTTGCCTTTGCCTCCAGTGTTGCTGGGATTACAGGCATGCACCACCACACCTGGTTTACCCTTCTTTTTGTGATGAAGTTGCCAATAGTTCAGACAGAGGTTGACTGAGTATAACTGAAGCCTCAGAAAACAAAACTGTAGATAAGAGAGAACTATGTGTTGTCATTGAGATTGTTGTTTTGGGCAAACAATTGATATCCTTACCATGTTTATATGTGTGTGTCCATCCTATATTGAGATGCATGTAAGAAAATAATGTGTGTATGTATACAGGTGTATAGCTTTTAAAATAAAAATGACATGAAGATGTAAGTCTTACCAGTTTTCTGAGACCTTTACCCTATGGCTCTAGCTTATGACTCATTCAGGAGCAATGACTCGGGCCATTAGAGCTAAACCCATGAGCATACTCTGCCCCAGAGGACCTGGTCCACAATCTCCTTCACAGCTACCTGTCCAGGTCAGTCAGCAGGGGCTCAGGAAAGAGCACTGCTTCAGAATAGGGAGCATGAACTTCAGCCACCCTCTGCCACAAGCAGCTGTGTACTTGCCTCTCTAGGCTCACTGTCTCCTTCCTTGAAATGAAAATCATAGTCTCATCTGGCACACAGGTGGCCATCAGGGTTAAATGAAGGAACTTTTACACAGTGTCAAGAGTCATGTAAGTATGGTTATTATCATTAGGGAACACAGGGAGATGGTATTGTCTCATCTATCACCTTCTTATTATGTGGTACAGGCTGAGCATCCCTAATCCAAAACACCAAAATTGGAAATATTCCAAAATCCATAACTTTTCAGTGCCAACTTTATGTCTCAAGTAGAAAATTCCACACCATGATATTTTGTTTCATGCACGATATTATTTAAAATATGTATAAAATTGCCTTCAGGCCGCATGTATCAGGTATAGATGAAATCAATATATTTCCTGTTTATACTTGGACCCATCTACAAGATATCTCATTATATATGTAAACATTGTGAATGAAACCCAGGGAAAAAAATCTGGAAATCTGACACACTTTAAGTTTGAGGCAAGGCTTATTCAACCTGGATGACACTTGTTGCCAAAGTTAAATAAGAAAAAAAAGCCTTTATTTGTGAGAAATTAGTGTTTCCAAGTCACTAACTTGTCTTTTGACTTAAAAAAGAGGGAATAGAAAAACATGGAGGTGTTAGTTTTCTATCACTATAACTTAATGCCTGAGACAATTAACAATTAACTTTAAAAAAGAGAGAAGGTTATTTGGCTCATGGTTTCAGAGGTTCAAGTCTAAGACTGGGAAGACCCATTGCTTTGAGCCTTTGGTGAAGGTGCCAGATAGTTATGGTTGGAAGCATGTGGCAGAGCAAACTGCTTACCTCATGGACCAGCAGAACAAGAGGAAGAGAGGAAGGAGCCAGGGTCCCATAACCCCCTTCAAGGACACATATCCAATGACCCAAGGTGCTCTTACAGACCCCACCTACTAAAGATTCCACCACTTCCCCAAGATGCCAACCTGGGGATCAAGCCTTTAACACATGGACCTTCAGGAACACTATCCAATCCATAGCAAAGGGCACTGGCTAGAAAAGTTTTATTAGCACAAAGATGAGAATTAAGAGAACACAGAAATGTTCTCAACTTAGCTGAACCCCAAGGAGGTAGCTTGCAAACTCCTGGGGTGGCCAAAAACATCTTCCTGATTGTACTGAACTCACAGCACAGGCACTTGCTATTGGTAGTGAAGAGAGAACCGTCTCAAGAGAATAGATGAAAAGGAGTGGTTCTTAAAGCTAAGGGTGCATCAGAATCCCCAAGAGTCCTTCTTAAATCAGAGGGTCCTTCTTAAAACTCCAGGTTTTGGGAGTTTCTGAGTCAGGAGGTCTGCATTGAGGTCCTAAGATGTTGCATTTCATACAAGTTCCCAGGTGAGCTGATGCTACTGGTGGAGAAACCACTTTTTGAGAAGCACTGAAGTAAGCAAAGCTCGTGTCTCAAAATCTGTGCAAGTGACTTCATATCAGAAATAAACATGAGTTATTTAATTCTTTCATAATTTATTATCAAATAACCTGGAGCAAGCTATTTAACCTATCTGAGCTGTTACACTTTTCATCTTCATTCCATAAAATAGGGAAAGTAGTATCTACATTCCAGGGCTGCTGAGGTTAAATGAGATAAGAGATGGGACATGGCATTTGAAAATGGTACTCAAAATGCAATTTCTTTTCTATTTATTATCCATCTTTATAAAATCTAAGGTTTTTAGAGGATATCTGGGGACCTCATCAGAACCTCAGCAAAGGTGGATTTGGAGATAGAAAGAGGACCCAGAACTTCTCATTGTCTGGCCAAATGAATCTACTATTTAAAAGTTCTTATGTGTGCTAAAGGAGTTTCCAAAGACCATGAAGCCTTCTGTATGATGGTTTCCTGGCTTATGTTTAAACACACACTTAAAATTATGCAGCTTTTGTAGCTTTTTATAAGATCTAGCTACCTGTTTAGTGTTGATGAATAACATGATCGGTTGGTTAAGGGTGTAGAAGTGATCACTGATGTTCTATAAATAAGAAAAGGCTTACTACAGGGCTGGGTGCACTCTGAGAGATTATGTGGGGAATCTCATCCCCCCCCCCCAATTGTTTAGATGGGGAAAATGAGGTCCATAATAATTAAGCAAGATACCCAAATATCCCTCATAGAACTAGAATAAGCTTAAAGTGCAATAATGAAAAATAGATGAACAAATAATGTATTTCAAGGAAAGTAGGATTTGGCTTTCCTGCATAAAGGTGGATAGATTTTTCACTTCCCTGAGATGGAAAGAAAGAAACTTTGGACTTCTAGTGCCTGGTTTGAAGAGCAGGTCAAGAAGAGCATAAATCATAGAAATGAGAACGGAAACAAAGAAGAGAAAAGGTGGCAAAATGGAAATTAGAAACAAAGTAAGAAAATAAAAGACTAGAAAGATGTCCGGATGTCCTTTTTTCCTGGATCTTTCACCTTAATCCTTCCAACTGGGATTCAGAATGGGATGCTGAGGGAAGTATACTGAGGGAAGCACAGAATTTGACCAAAAAAAAAGAAAACTAAATTAAATAAATAATGCACTACATAGTTTTGCTCCCATGGTTTCAGTTACCCATGGTCAACCACAGTCCAAAAATATTAAGTGGCAAATATTACAAAGACACAATTTATTAATTTTCAATTGTGCATAATTCTGAATAGTGTGATGAAATCTCTTAATATCCCATCCTGCCCAGAACATGAACCATCCCTTTATATATTATATCTATGTTATATACACTTACCCACTTATTAGTCATTTAGTAGCCATCTCAGTTTTCAGATTGACTGTCAGAGTATCACAGTGC